ATCGGAGCTATTAATATGACATAAAAGCTTTTTCGTCAATACATGACTTTACATCACATCAATTGTATGGCAATTCCTGAAATTTTCGGTTCACTTGTCTCTCAATGCATACAATATTAAAGTTATATTATTTTATTGTATAATCAATAGACAGATTGGCCACTCGTTTCACTTTTTTGTTTATTAATATATTGTATTTCCGATGTCGTTGAAGACAAATCATAATAACTGATGTGTTTTTGACAATATTTGCATTTTATATAATACATTGATTCAATTATGTTGTGTATTCATTCAATCTAAATATTATATATATGTTATAAAATTATATTTAAAAATTAAAACTACAATCAATTATTTATACTAATTATTAATTTCGAGTAATTTTAAGAGTTTAACTTTAAATAAATCTAAAGACATCTATAAACATCTAAATATCACAAATTTCTAATAATATAAATTATTATAATATGTTTATATCTGGGTTAAGCAAGGGGTAGGAGGTGGTAAGGCAAAAATACCCCCTAAGATCCAGATTTTGGCTTTTTACCCCTTCCCAGACTTTTTGAAAAAATGTGACTTAAAAACGAAGAGAAATGACTCGAATAAAATTTGGGCGCTGAAGACCAAAGGCGCCAAATATTTTTCAAATTTATAAAAATTTTAATTTTAATTTATAATATTTTGTGTTATTATGTTTTTATGACTAATATGAATGTAATTATTGAGTAAATAACAGATAGAATATCTGTATTATGTTTATCATAAATAATTTAAGTATTTCAATGTTTTAAAATATTTTTCAAATCTATATTTTTTCATTGATTATCATTTATGAAAATAACAATTAATTAATATTTATATCTAAAAAGTTTTTTGATTTACAAACAAATGCTTCATCGATGACAGTTTAAGACAGTATAGTTTGCTTAATAATTTCACACTTAAAGTTAAGAGAAATTTTAAAAAACAAAATTATTATTTTACAATAATCTTTGATGTTCAATATTAATAAGATTAAGTATATTTATCAAATGACTTCAATTTTTTATAAATCATTTTTTTTTTAATTTATCTAAATTTATCTTTATAAAATAGCACAATTCAAAATTGTATTCAAAAGTAGATATAATTTATATATCTTTTATTTTTAACTAAAAAATATTTTAAAGTGTAATAATTTAATTTTTCTAATGATACAAATTAAAATTTTTAATAACTTTTTCTATTTTTGTAATAATAAAAAATATATAAGTTATCTGAATCTTTAAAAATTTATCTTGATCAAGTATTTTTCATTGATTTTTGTAAATTATACAATTGTAGAAAATTTTATGTAAAATAATGTTTATTGTTATACAATATTTTACTATTTATTTTTATTTTGCGAAATATTTATTGATTAAATCTTTCTGTGTATCAATATTTATGGTGTAACTAAAATAATACTAATAAAATTATTATTATTTTAAATATTTATTGTGCTATTATTCAATATTTTATACTAAAAATCCTTAAGTCATTTAAAGTTTATAGTTATTACAGTTTATATTATTATTATTATATTTTTCTATTGGTATAGCTTATGCAAATAAATTTTTCATTGTTATGTAAATTCTGTATATAAATTTGACTTTTTAAATATTTAAACTTAAATATATTGTTTATTTTCACACTTTTAATAGTCAAAGTAATAGAATATAGTATTTTATTAATTTAAGTATTTGTATTTTTTAATGTTTTTTAATAATTAATGTTTTATTTTTTAATGTTTAGTAAAACTCATTGCCAATAGTCAAGTGTATATTTATGTATCGGTATTTGTCATTCACATAGATTTTTATATTAAATTTTGGCTTAAATCCAAAGTTAATGAAATTTTTAAATTTGAGAACTGAGCCAAACATTACTGTCTACGTTATGACTGGATATTTAAAACGTCTAATTCATAATTCACAAATTCATAATACATAAACTATTTAATTATATTTATATCAATGTAATTATAGTATAATTAATATTCATAATATACAAACACACTAAATAATTAAAAGATATATACTTATATAATAATTATAAATTGATTATAATTAAAAGGTTTGAATCGTTATTTATGAGTTTTATGAGTGAGTTATGTGAATTGTATCGAATGAGTGGGTCAAATGAGTGGGTCAAATGAGTGGGTCAAATGAGTGGGTCAAATGAGTGGGTCAAATGAGTGGGTCAAATGAGTTTGGATAATTTAGGTTTAGGTTTTTTTATTTTGTTATTTGAGTTATTTTTATTTTGATTAACATAGATATTTACATCTATCAATATTATTGATAATTAATTAATTATTGATATTTATTTTTATTCTATACAAATATATCACAATGTTTTGCTAAAATTATAAAAATAAAATCAAAACTATTATTCATTAAATATTAAGTATTTTTATTTTTTATATGATAATACAAGTATATTCATACCAAAACTGTTTTTATTAAATCAATTTTGAAATTAATTACTTTCTTATTAATTTGAGTGAATATAAAGTATATATATACTGTATATTCATATATATATATAACATTATTTATATTAATAACAATAAGAGAATGTGTTATAAATATATACTTAAAGAAGAATTTCTTTGTGTATATTATACTTAAAGAATAAGAATTTACGAAATTTATTGCTATAATATTCAAGAATTAACTTTTAATTATTGCCAACAATTTTTATTAATAATCTTTTGAATATTTGTAAATTTATTATTTATTATTATGTAGAGTATTATGTGTTATTAATAGAGTATACATTATGTTTTACAAAATGATTATAAGTTTTTAAATATTTAGTCAATAATTTACTTTTTAGCTAAAAACTCATTTTTTCAGTACTTTACTCACAATACTTTGTTTTATAATACTTGAACTAAAATTCAATTTTATTTCTAAAGCATAACATCTCTCATACAATTGCATGTATTTTTTAAAAGCTTATACTGAATAATGTTTATATAAAATTTATTTATTTTTCTATTTAAAAAATGAATAGTTTACACACCAATAGTGTCTTTAATACTAAAAACTTGTGTTTTATAATATTAAACAATTTTGTCGGTATTATAATATCTATAGTTAAATAATTTCATTGAGAATTTGTTAATACAAAAAATATTAATACTTTAATAATAATAATAATAATAATAATAATAATAATAATAATAATAATAATAATAATAATAATAATAATAATAATAATAATAATAATAATAATAATAATAATAATAATAATAATAATAATAATAATAATAATAATAATAATAATAATAATAATAATAATAATAATAATAATAATAATAATAATAATAATAATAATAATAATAATAATAATAATAATAATAATAATAATAATAATAATAATAATAATAATAATAATAATAATAATAATAATAATAATAATAATAATAATAATAATAATAATAATAATAATAATAATAATAATAATAATAATAATAATAATAATAATAATAATAATAATAATAATAATAATAATAATAATAATAATAATAATAATAATAATAATAATAATAATAATAATAATAATAATAATAATAATAATAATAATAATAATAATAATAATAATAATAATAATAATAATAATAATAATAATAATAATAATAATAATAATAATAATAATAATAATAATAATAATAATAATAATAATAATAATAATAATAATAATAATAATAATAATAATAATAATAATAATAATAATAATAATAATAATAATAATAATAATAATAATAATAATAATAATAATAATAATAATAATAATAATAATAATAATAATAATAATAATAATAATAATAATAATAATAATAATAATAATAATAATAATAATAATAATAATAATAATAATAATAATAATAATAATAATAATAATAATAATAATAATAATAATAATAATAATAATAATAATAATAATAATAATAATAATAATAATAATAATAATAATAATAATAATAATAATAATAATAATAATAATAATAATAATAATAATAATAATAATAATAATAATAATAATAATAATAATAATAATAATAATAATAATAATAATAATAATAATAATAATAATAATAATAATAATAATAATAATAATAATAATAATAATAATAATAATAATAATAATAATAATAATAATAATAATAATAATAATAATAATAATAATAATAATAATAATAATAATAATAATAATAATAATAATAATAATAATAATAATAATAATAATAATAATAATAATAATAATAATAATAATAATAATAATAATAATAATAATAATAATAATAATAATAATAATAATAATAATAATAATAATAATAATAATAATAATAATAATAATAATAATAATAATAATAATAATAATAATAATAATAATAATAATAGCTGTAATGACAGTATTTTAGATGTTTATAATTATGATTGCTTTTTAGTATAGACGTTGATATGGAAATACAGTATCATTTATAGCAAAAACTTTTTTGTTATACAATTGTTTTATCATTATTTGTTATTATATACTTTACAATGTTTAATAATAATTGCTCTTTATTTTATTTATACAATGAATTGTTTATACTCTGTTTATTTGACCCTTTTATCTACAAATCAATTATTTATAGTATTTCTACAAAATTAGCTATAAATTAGTACATGTTTTAGAGATAAAATACATTTAGATACAGTTTATATATATATTATATTGTATATCAAACAATGAGAATGAAAAAGTTTTTAAAACAATTTAATTGTTATTAATATTTTAAAATTATTATTTTTATTTTATTTATTATAAAACAATAGTAAATAAATAATTTATTGTATTTTTTTCTCATTTTTATCATATTCACATTTAAATTGATAAATTTAAGTTAAGATATAAAAATTTTATACTCAATTTTTATATTTTATTTAATGAAAATTAAATGTTTTTAACAATTATAATAATAATAGAGTCAAAGACACCGAAGAGGAGCTCTGATGGTCTCGTGTGAGAACCTTCTGGCAGACAGTGAACTGTTGAGTGGTTCACATGAGGGCTCACTTAAGGCATTTCGTGACAGACAACTGGCGGCAAACCGCAAAAGTGGTGGCATTTTCTTTAATCCATTCAAAAGTGATCGCGAAAAGTTGGACCAATTGACTGATCTGTTAAACCTATACCAACAAACCGGTATTCCAGAGCAATCAGGTTTGCTAACGTTTCGGACCAAATCCGAGACCACCGATGACACAGATATATATTATTTGGAGGACCATTGGATGTCTATCGTTGCAAATGCCGAAGAGTTACCAAAGAAGGTGCAGAACCAGAACGACGCCATTTGGGAATTGCTTGAAACAGAAGTGTTTTACTTAAGACGATTGAAAGTGATTACCGACCTCTTCCTCGCCTGTCTTTGCAATTTGCAGAGCGAGTGTCTACTTAATGAGGTATAGCCAACCCATCTGTACTACCATTTCATTCATTTAATCATTTTTCATGATTTGTCAAACACTAAACACGACTACCACTTGATTATAAACATTGATCGATGGGTCCTATCGTTTGCCGTATTATTTTACGTTAACTTATGTCTCGCGAGTTTCAGTTAAACCTTTTACAAGATTTTATTGTTAGTCATATCAATGGCTTTAGTCTTGCATTCAATCAATTGATTACATGTTTTAATGCAATTTCAGTCTATCATTAATCCTAATTGATTGCTCTATTTATAACTAATAAAACTACAATTCCTATTAGATTCCTATTAGACCTCTTGATATAGTATTAGTATTTGTGTTAGCAGTTAATCCTTTTATAATATTTATCATTATGTCATAAATATTTTACTTTGAATTTATAGGAAAATATTATTAAAGTTATTCAGAGGATTTGCTATAAAATCTCATAAATAGATTTTACTATCTTTAAGATACAAATATAAATTGAATAAAATTTGCAATAATATTGCATAATAAAATAAATAAATTTTTATAATTAGTTAATTAAATACTATGAAAGATATAAATAAAATGTGTTATAAATATACGAGTCCATTATCACCTAATTATAAAATTGTAACTTTTAAATAAGTAATTATTTTACGTGTTTATATATTTTTTAAAATAATAAAACTAATATTAATATTACTGTTACCTAACAAGTCTTTCTTATATAATAGTCTATACTGTTTAACATTAAGCATATTGTATGTAAAGTATTACACAAATACTTTATATAAAAATTTTGAATTGAAAAATTGAATGAATTTCTAAAATAATAATAAAATAAATAATTATATGTTTTTTGATAAAGAAAATTCAGTAAAAAATTTCTAGAATTCAATTAATGTTTATTAAATATTATTATTAATATAAGTTTGTTTGAAAGCAATGATGACTTTGTGTTGTTGACAATCATATCAAAAAAAATCTTTTATCACGTGATTTACTAACAAAACATTTATGTAGAAAATATTGATTTGCAATTGTTTAACAGTTTGTTATATTATCGCAAAAATCAATACTATATTTCATTAAAGTGTTGCCTAAATTTGAAATATTTCTCTTAAATATAATCCCCATTTGAAAATTTCAACAAAATCTTTCATCATTATTTACACTCATTTACATAATTTTTATAAATTTATATGTTTTACTAACAGTTATGAAATAATGCGTAAAATGTTTCAAATATAGTATTAATGTTAGAGAATAAATAAATTAATTAATTAAACCATATATTAATGTATTATTTTTATTTTGCGGAAAATTATCATTTAATGAAATATTTTTTGGTAACACTAAACGTTTACCTATAAAGCAAGTCATAAATCATAAATATGTATTGATTTACATCGATTCACATGAATAACTGAAACCATAGTTTGATATTTTGGTAGAAAATGTTGTCAATATTGTCTCTCTTGAGTCCAACACTTTAGTCAATAAGACATTTGACATCAGATGTTGAATAAGTCCAGAGTTGTGATAAAATAAAGCCCAAAGTTATAGCAAAAGTAAACAATGCATATAAAAAATCCAAAAACCCAACAATAATTACCCATTAGTTTTGATGTATAATAAACACAATATTAACGGATAACAGAAATATACTTTGAATACAACACTATTAGACACAAGTTCTGTAAATGACTTACTTTTGTATTATTTTGTCGATATATTCTATACTATTAGTTAAAAAACAAATTTTACTACAAAAGACATTTGTGTTCTTTATGTTTCATACAAATCATTACATATTATGATTATATATATATAATATTTAATATATAAATAAAGTTTTTAACAAATAGTTTGATTTACTTTACAACTAACAGATCGATACAACAAAGATGTTCAGTAATATAGTGGAAGTGAGTGCCGCAAACCATCAGTTCTGGTTCGACCATTTACTACCTATGCTTAGCTATAGCCGCCAAACACATCAACCACTTAATCCTTTGCTTATGAAAGATGGCTTTCTTATGGTAAGTCATTACTTACAATTGAATGCTTTAATTGTTGTATTAATGAATAAACTATTGATTTGCATAATTATGTTTAATTATGTATAGTGTGATCAGTTATTTCATCCCTATATGAAGTACTGCTTAGAGCACAGCACTTGTTTGCAATATGTTAAAGAAAATCATAAAAACAATGAACTATTCAAAGCCTATGTTGTGGTAAGTGATGTTGCTTTACAAATGTCATCTAATTTATGACAACACTGTAATTAATTATACCTAACAATAACTTTTTGCATATATATAATGAATTAGTGGTGCGAAACACATAAAGATTGTGAACGACTACGGCTTATGGACTTATTAGTCAAACCTATGCAACGCTTAACTAAATATTCATTACTTCTTAAAGCTATTCTTAAGAAGACTGACTCAGATGAACATAAGATTGCACTAAAAAATATGGTATTTTTATATTTATATTATTTACTCATTTATTATTTTATATCTCATATGAGTTATTATTTTGTTTTCACTCTTGACATACGTCCTCACAATTTTATTATTTATACATTATATATATATATATATATAAATTATATATCAATACAAAATACTACATATATATATACATAATATTACATATATTAATATTAGTAGTATAGATAATGTTTTCTAAAACTTTTTAAAAAAAAATTTAATCAAATTATTTTTGACTATTATTTAGATTTATATTATTTTGCTTTAACTTTCTCATGATTTAGCTGTCAAAACTCAAAATTTAATTTTTTGTGTGTAAAACTTGTTTTCATTATATATTCAATAGTATAAACAGTTGTATTTGTTGTTGTAACAAGAATTCCCATAAAATTGTTAACAACTATGAGAATAAAATATAAAGAATATTCTTTAAAATAACATAAGGATTGTATAACATAAACACAAAATGCATAATAAATGAAATACTTTTTTCAGTTGTGATAATATTGATGAAGTGTTCAACTATTGAAGTAATTGATAGCAATGTATGTCTTGTATTCAACAGAATGAATGTGTGGAGCGTTTTGTTTATGGCGTCGATGCGGCTCTTCGTCGACAACATGAACAGCAAAAGTTGGCCTCAATTGTGACCCGAATTGAGAGTTACGATGCAATTGATTGCAATAACGATGAGGCAGACAAGGTATACATCTATTGACTATTATTTATAACTCATGAAAATTTCATATATTTTAACCAATTATATTGACATTAGTTGTGTTTTTTGTTTGTTTGAATAATCTGTTTAATTTGTGACAATAGTTGTTGAAAGAGTACATCCATCTGGACTTAACTCAGCCAATGAATGGTTGTTCGCCTCATTTTATAAGGCATTTGTTAGTCGAGGGATCACTCAAACTGAAGGACTCATTCGCCAGTAAAGTAGACGTTCACTGTTTTCTGTTCACTGATTTGCTTTTAATATGTAAATCAGTGAATAAAAAAAGTGGAAACAAAGTCAGAGTAATTCGTCAGCCATTCATAATTGATAGAGTCGTCACTCAAGAACTGAAAGACGGCACGGGTTTTATATTATTATATTTAAATGAGTTTAAAGTGGCTAATGCTTTACATCTGCTATACTCGAGTGACACCAAGACATGGATCGATTATATTAAGAAAGCACAGGATCTCTATAGACATACCAAAAGCATTTCTTCCGAAGCGCTAGAAATTACTTACTTTCGCAATCTTGAAGAAGAAGAAGACTATGATTTTCCATCGATGGCACTGTTGGCTACATCTCGTAATTCTCCCCGTAGTTCAAGCCGTTCCAGTCTTGTTCACTCTCATAGTGGTTCAGTAGATATGAGTGACGCCACTTCTAGCACTTCATTAGCAATGATACCTCCAGTTCACACTCCTAACTATCTTCAAAATCCAGATTCATGGCAACAACCTCCCCGTGCAGTTAGCTTTGAATTGGGAGAACTGAGAAATCCAAGTCTTGTTGTTGAAGATTCTGAATCTTTTGGTCGTTCACATAGTGTTGATAATCGATCTCCAGTTGCTGTTACCATAACTTCTCCACGACCTGAAAGACGAGCCTTTTTGTTGCGAAATTCAAAGGGTAGTTCCGGTCAATACAGTCAATATCCAAATACTTTGTCAGTGAATTTGCCACCGAGTTATCATCCTATGTGTGATCACAAACAAAGTCTTAAATCTCCACCATCTCTGCCATCAATACAACTTCCTGTTTATTCATCGCCAACTAAATCCATAACCCCATCAACAGTTCGTTCATTACCTCCCCGACCAACTTCACCTACAATACTGAACCGATCCCTAGCATTCAATGCAAATAAGCCACCGCTCCTTAAAACAAAAAACATTTCGGGGCTATTGATACACTCGGCTCCGGCCAGTGAAGGGCCTTCACCTGTTCATAGTCTCGATAACGATACACACTTAGACAATATTACACAATATTCATCAAAATCAGATGAATCAATTGACAAGAATATTGATAACACTACTGAAGATCCCGAGTCTATTAAGGGTCGCATTAGTCAGAAAAGAAATGGTAGAGCAGCCGAGCGCCGGTACCATACGGCTGACTCTATCGAACATTTAAAAAAAGAAAAAGACTCGTCAATACACAAAAGGTTGTCCTGGAATTATGGACAACACAACCATAACCACAACCACAACCAAACTCATGGCAATAAAGTTATTCCTTCGCATTGCGAAAGGATTTTATGCAATAAACACTTCAATAAATGTCTGAGCGCTGAATCGGTCTACAGTTCCAGTGGTTTCAGCAGCACTTGTTCTGTGCCTTTGAGTGTCGGTAGTTCTGAATGCGAACAGTGCGGCATTGAAATACTCGATCACATCCAAGAAATGGACTCCTATTCCAATTCACCCGCCATTACGCCCAACCATCTCGACGACGACCAAACATCACAATCAAATGATTTCGATTGTAAAGTCAACTCTAATCTCAATATTAAAGAGTCGGACATTAAAATTGATATTTGCGAAGTCAAAGATGGCATTTCTTCAGTTCAGATCAGAGTCACCGGAACTCCAAATCAGGTGAAGCCATCTAAAGCTGATCTCAAGAAAATGAAAGAATTTCTACTTACAAACTATAACGTCGAGTCTTCGTAAGTATATTTTATATCAATAGTAATTGTATTGACATTATATTGATTTGTAAATGCAATTAAAAAACTATAGATTTCACTTATTAATAATAATGTACTGATATTTGCATTTTCATGAATAATGAAAATATATATAATATATTACATTATATAAATTACCTTAACTATAACTATATAAATAATATATTTTTAGATTTAATAATTTTTTATATATTTTTAAAAAATGATGATAATTTAACACAATATAAATCTAAAAAATATTGTTATTGAAATCTATTAGTAGTGAGATTAATATACATATATATTTGTTAAATAAAATTATTAAAGCAAAATATCCCAATTATTATATTTCATAAATATAATTGACTTATGGATACATTAGGTAATATAATAGATATTATTAGTTTGTGTAAAGTTTAATATAGTGTATATAATTGATATATTGACTAAATATCCAATTAATTTACTTATTTTACTTGACTTACCCTCTAAACCGCTTTCTTTTTTTATATTATGTATTGTATTATCCGATTTATGTAATATATTGTTCAATACATGAAGTAGTTATCTTTGGTGTCATTCATTAATATATATTATTGTTTTGTTTGATATGTGTGTCTATATATATATAGAGAAGTCTGACAGCATTATCTGATGATCAGAAGATTGTGATAAATTGATTGATAAAAATACAATAATAATAAACCTTTGGTGCTCTTATTAACTATATTTTGGGAAAATGAGCCAAAATATTGTCAATTTATTGGTTGACGACTCAAACTTTAGCATTGACTTTGACTAAAGATATTAGAAGATATGGTGGACATCAAAACTATATCAATGGCAATGATTATGGATTCAGTGTTGAAAATGATTGATTACTTTGAATAGATAATGATATTTTGGTAGTCATTATTATTTTCGCATAAAGTTATACCTTTAGAGAGTATGTGGTATTAAAATCTATGGAGAGTGTCATACAAATGAACCACCAATTTGTCAGATGCTATGGTAGCACATAGTTTGCCATATAGTTTGACAAATATATAACATATTATACAGTATAGGGTCCACTACTATGTTATACGATATTATCTTTACAACCAACTATTGTTTTATTTATAAGCATTAAATCAATAAATTGTCTAGAGCATATTGTTTTAGAAAAAATCAATTATAATATAACATTATTGTTGATTATTTTGCAATATTTAAGTATATTCATTCATATATAACTTTATATTGTTAATATAAATATATTTATGTTATCATATTATAGAATTATTATTGTTATTATCAAAAACAAATTAAAATTGCATTAATATTACAAATTATATTAACATTATTTACAATAGAATTTTATTAATTTTAATGTTATTATAAATTACAGTCATTTTAATTTGTTATAATAAATTCTGTAAATTTATATAAAGTTTAATAATTTATTTTTTGTTACTTAAATTAGTTAATTATTTATCTATGTTACAAACATATGTAATAAATTTATAAATATATTATAGATCTGTAAAAAAATTAGATTATTATATACTAAGTTGTGAAACATAAAATGAAAAATATTGTCATATAATTGTAAATAATAAATAGTTGTAAAATTTTAACACTATCTTATTAAATTAATCTTATTTAATTTTTACAAAATATATAAATTTAAAACATAAATATCGAAACATTATTGAAAAAATATATTTATTTTTATAAATCAGCAAAAATAAAATATTAATTTAATAAAAAATGTTTTTATTTTTTTCAAATAATTTTTCATTCATTTTTAAATAAATATATTAAGTAAAAAATTATATATATATATATATATACTAAAATTATAAAATTCTTAACAAATAAAGTTATTCAAAATAAAATTTTAATAATTGTGAGTAAGTAATGTTTTTAAAATTACAAATAAAAATTATTTGTCAATAAAAAAATTTTCTTGATTTTAGTTTAGTGGTATGTTTTGAACTCAAATTATAGTTTATCTGATTTTTTGCTGAAGTTTGCATTATTGAAGTCAAACACATGACGGAAGCTTTTACTAAACTAAATCAAGTAAGACTTCAATGTTTGACCACAATTACAAAGTTATTGAATAATACAGATATTGGAGATTAAAATATATAAGTATTGATTCAATAAAATTGTTATGAATCACATAAATATATCAAATATCAAATAGATTAAGAAAATTGTTATCTGATTTTTTTTTTGGCCAAACATTTTAACTTACAGTATAGCTTATATGATTATAATATATATTTAAGTTTCGATGAAATCATGAATTATTAATTCACAAGAAGATCAATGTTTATATTTAATGTATTATCATTGGAGTATTGAAAATATGCAAATATATTATTAACAAAATGTTATCAATTTGTATACTCGGAATTAACCAACTTTTTTTAAAATTAATAAATATAATTTTTTATGTGTTTAATGTGTAAAAATTTAAATAAAATAATAATAATAAGTTTTTTAATAAAATAAATATTTACTAAGAAATATTAAATTTTATATGAAATAATTAAGCTAATTATATTATAATTAATAAGTTATATATTTAAACTTTAAAAATATTTAGAAATAAATTAAAAATATTAATTTTATAACATATACAGAAGATCATTTATAAACAATTATAATGTAATTTTATAATTTATAAATATAATTTGGTATGCAATTAATTTTATTGACACCAATTATTTAATAAAATGTAATTTATAGCTAATATCTATTTGAAAAAAAATTATTATTGATCAACAACGTTTTAATATTTTACAATCTAATATAAATTAATAATTAACTAAAATAACTTTATTTATAATATTTAATAATTGTTTTAAATTTAATAACAAATAAAATAACTTTTTGTTAAATTATAGCTAAATAAATTTAAGTGTGTAAGTAATGGTTGACTAAAAATATGTTAATAAAGCTAAAAAATAAAATCATTTTGCGTTAACAGCACCGGGAGGCTAATGAGTTATAAAATTAAATTCAATTTTAGAGATTTAAACACTTTAGTGAATATTTAAATCAATAAATATATTGTAAGGCAAACATCGATAGCAGGAGTTGTCTCTAATTTGTTTAGAAATACAATAAAAGACGGAATTCTTTGTTATTTAGATTTTTTAATGTGAAAGAATTGAATGGCCCGTAGGCTTAAAGGACGGGTAGGTTTCATACATATTTAAATATTACCTTTTTATATATACAGTATATAGATATGATATATCATATTTTGTCATAATAAGAACTTACTAAACTTATGAAACTTAATGAAATCATTATACATATATATGTATAACAAATTTATGAAAATAAATGCTAATATGTAAATAAAGTGATTTTATGTCTAATTTATAATTTTGAGTTCAAATTTTATTAAATAATATATAAAATGTCTTTTGGAGCTAATGTCCAATTTCGAGGTTTCTATATTTTATTTAAAGTTTATAATCTTATAATATTAAAGTAATATTGTATATGAATTTAATGTAACGGATATTGCATTCAATATTTTTTTAAAGAATATTGTATATAAATATCAAATCAAACACTCATATACTCAATGTTTATTAATCAGTATATTCTACTGTAGTTTAAAAAGTCAACTAAATATACATGAATTGATTGATAAAATTAAATTACAGTGTATTTAATTTATTTGTTAACAATACAAGTAATGTTAAATATAGTAGAATGTCTAATGATTTTATTTAAATATTCTTATAATTGATTTTATTTTTAAAAATTTATAAAACTAACACTAAACTAAATTAAGAAATCTTAGAATCATTTTGTATTGAAAATTATTTATAAATCGTTTTAAGTAATTTCCACAATAAATGTTTTTATTTATACTTTAGTTAAAATTATTCTATATATTCAAATTCAATGTACAGTAGTATATAATGTATAAATTATATATAAATTAATAGACTTTAGATTAATTAATAGATAAAATATTTTATTGTAAATTACAATAAGTAAGACATTACTAAATAAATACACTTACTTTAATGTTAAATGTATAAATGCAAATTTTTACACAAACAATGTTATAATGTATTACATACTAAATTATGTATTGTATTTATATATTTGTATAGTACTTGTATATCAAGAGTCTATTTTGCCATTAAAATTGTTTAGACTAAAATCACAATTTTATTTAATAATAGTATATTTAAACAAATTTTTTTTATAAACTATATTTACTCAATAAATAATAATGAACTATATTTTAATAAAATGTGTAAGAATTAGGTTTCCTAAAAATAAAGTTTTATATTCATATCTTTCAATATAGAGTAGTATTTTAATAACAAAAGCAGTGTATAAACAGTTTGCTGTAAACTGTTTTTTACTAATATTTAATGTTTAAAATTGTTTTCTTTAGAAATTATTGATTAATTTAAATTTCTTAAAAATAATCTTTCAGCACTAAAATCCTAATTTAATAATAAAAATAATAATAATTTATGCAATAACAAGAAATATTTAAATTTTGTAAAAATCTATCCAATCGTTAAAAATATTTGCATATATAATATATTTATTTATAAAATCACAAATAATAAATTTTACTATAGATTTTTATATACAGTAATATAGAGACCATATACTGTATACTTTAATGTAGACTATATTGTAATTGTAAGTATAATAATAAATATTCAATTTTTACAATACATAAAATTACTATTGTATTTCAAAAGTTTTCATTAATTTTTAAACAATTTATCATAAAAACAAATTAATATAAAAACTTTAACAGTATATACAAACATGAAATTACAATACTATTAAAATACATATAATTATATAAGTAAACAACTTAGTTAAAATATAAAATTTTATTTTATGCACTTTTTAACGTAATATTATGTTATATGAATTCAATGTAGAATTTTATTATATTTAAAAATATGTTTATTTGGTATGAGTTTCCTTCTACTCCTAATTTTCTTAACCCATCTGATCCATCATTGATTCATAACTTTTAAAATAAGTCTAAACACAATTTAAAATATTGTCTATGATTTCGGCCTATAATACTAGACTTAGTATTTTAATTTTAGTATTTATTTAAGCTTCAATAATAAATTAAATTAAGCTTATCTAACATTACATATTGTATAAATCTAATATACTTAAATTTGTGCTAAAGTAAAAGTATACTGTATCTGTTTTTTAATAATTTAAAATTATACACAGTATAATATAATTTTAATACTGTATTAATAAATTTAAAATATAAAGTGATATTTAAAAGTAATTTTATTGATAAATTGTTAAGGTAAAAATATTTTAAAACATAATATTCAAGTCATAACTAAATGTTAATATTATATTATTGCAGCAAAAAAGCATATTATTAAATATCAAAGATTACAATAATATTGTATTTTAACAATATTTTTAAATATCAATAATAATAATAATAATAATAATAGCAATTAAAAACAATTGTCTCAACAATAAATGACAATTTGATCTGAGATTAATATTAATTCGCGATTCAGTAATTGCGTTAAAATTAATGTAAATAAGTTTTATAATTATATAAATGGATTAAAATAGTGAGTTATATACTAATTAATTGAATAGAGATTACAACAATTAATTTGAAATTAATCTCTCAAACAAATGTTTGCCTTATATTTTAATGGCAGATCTGATGAGAGAATTCAATGAATTAATTCAAAAGTAATTATTTAATTACTAATTAACGGCTGAATTGCGGACAGGAATGCAATGAATGGCACTCAACGTTCAACAATGGGTTCATATGTTTGTATTTTTATGAAGTCGTCGTAGGGGTTGGAGTTGATGGGGAACTGCTATTATTGGCCGCATTGTTATTGCTGTTTGTAGTGTTGTTTGTATTGTTTTGTTGTGCTGCCCATTGTGTGGTCAGTTGAGTGCCTCGAAATTGAGGCGCTGACACCTGAACGGGGATCAGTTGGATAGTGGCCGGACCTTGTGGTGTATGAATTGTAGTAGCAATGTGTTGTTGTGCCAGATTGGCCACATTATTTGCCACATTGTTTGCATTAGCATTACGAGCACCGCGACCACCGCTACCAGTGCTAGGATTCGTATGAATTCTTCTGTGACGACCTGTTTAGCCATAATTTAAGTGTTACTTCATTTATCAAACCATTTACTACAATACATACTAAGTTTATCTTTTCGGTAGAATCCACGGCCACAGTATTCACAAGGATAGGGCCGTTCGCCCGTATGAATCATCTGATGTCTTCTTAAATGATTCTTCTGTGAGAAAGATCGACCGCAAACATCACAATGGAATGGTTTGTCACCTAAATATATAACCAAATAATTACCGGTAATTAAATTAAGACTAATCATAACAAACAAGTGGTCAATACCCGTATGTGTGCGCATGTGATCCAATAGTTTGCATCGATAAGAGAAACCAGAACCGCATATTTCACACGAACAAGACTTCTCTCCGTGTGCTACCCGGACATGGATGCGGACCCTCTCAGCGCTGGCAAACAGTTTCCCGCATTGATTGCAGGGAACACTCTTCTCTTGTTTTGTGTGATTACTGTAATTCAATCATTTAATTATTAAATAAATTTTAGTAATAATTAGTTGTGTAATACCTGAGATGTGCCTGTAGTTCACTGGCACTCTTATAGGGTATTTTACACGCAGGACACGGCCACACAGTGGTCGTCGTGTTGTTGGTAAAGCTAACTGTGTTAACATTGCGGACTTGAGATGTGGTGCCAGCGGTGGCGGGGATTAGGATTGCGTGTTGTTGTTGTTGGGGCTGAAGGTGTTGTTGTTGTTGAGTGTTGTGTTGCAATGGATTGCCGGGAAATGCAATGGCAGTGGTCAGCAAATGCGGACCAGTCTGTGCCTGTTGTTGAGTCAGGCTCTGGGATGTCCGCTGCGATTGCTTCACAGCTTTGGTGGTGTGCTGTGAGTGCTGTGACTGTTGTGATGACTGTGAGTGTGGTTTTGTGGCACTACTGGTGTGAAGCATATCATTGGCCGACTGTTGTTGCGGCACATGATGTATGAAGTTTGCGATGTGTTGTCGCGGATCAAACCCTAACATATAATACATTAACAATACATATCTTAATGTTATTTTCAATTTATTGTTATTTTACACCAATTTTCACACAAATAGACTATAAATTCTTATAAATTTATGTTATATACAGTACTAACCAATTGTATGCTAATCTGATAATTATAATATAATATCTTATTTATATGTTATCAATACATTCAATAATAATAATAATATAAATAATATAAATTATTTTAAATCATGTCATTAAATCTAAAAAGATTTAAAATATTATTAAAAATATTGTAAAAATCATATAATAATAGACTGAACTATAACTTTGATGAGACACAAGTGTGTCCTTCGATGGTTAACAAAGAGTTTCTCCTATATTATGCTTATAAATAGTTTAATAATTATTAATTAATAAATCAATCTTTAGATTGATTTAAATGAAATAAATGAGGTTTTAATGAGAAAATGAAATCAAAAGTTTATAAAATACATAGTTTTGTATAAATTGTATGAAAAGTATTTGAATGTTTCAACTGATAGTAACAGTTAAGGCAAGCATTGGTAGTATTGAGTCCCCCATTGTTATAGTGATTGCCCTACACTTCAATCCCCCAAAACAGTGGTACAAAAACAGGTCTGCGGTCAACGCGTGCACCCAATGGTTGGCGGATGACGACCGACGGACACTTACCGGGAAAAGCGGTGGCCGCGGGAAAGACAAAAGTGGGCGTACAGACCACTTGTTCCGTGTGCTGACCACTTGTTTGACTTGCAGTCCCTCCTGAAGCCATATTAGCTCCTTTGTTGAGCCCCTTTAGGTGTGACCAACACATGCGTACAGCACTGGTATGCTTACACTCTCACATAAACCACACATACTCTCAAACATAACTGTTGTGACCACTGGTCACCAATACTTACAAACAATTATATACAACAATATATTGTCATATAATATAATATCAATTATTCTAACTTATAATCCAATTGTAACCAACTGTCCGCTTAAGTAACACGTGTTTAATATATGTTTATTAACGAGTGTTGACTGTAATGTTTGTATGCAAACAAACACATGATTTGTCATTCAATCAAATGATTTATAATTTTTGATTCAAAGATTGTTTTAATTTAAATATTTTACAATCAAATCATTATTTTTCAAACAATTTGGTGGCATTTTAACAAATAATATATATTTTTACACAAATAGTGGCTATAAATTTGATAAACAAATTTGCATTTTAACCGATAGTATAGTTTAGTATTTGACGGAAAATATGGGCAAAAATACGACACAAGAAGTGAAAGTTTGGAGGAAAATGTTGGCCATTGGGTCCAAATGGGAGGACAAAGTAATTAAAGAGACTATAAAATTGATTATAATATCTTTTAAAATTTAATAAATGATTACTTTTTAGGACCAATTTTTAGATGTTATATATTGGGGCCGACAGTTGTTAGCAATATTAATGGGACTAATATGGGGTTACCTGGGTTATTATTATTATTATTATTATTATTATTATTATATTAGTACATAATTTCAATATTTATTATAATTTATTATTATATGATATAACTTTATAAAGGATTGACGGGAATGTTTGGTTTGTCCTCATTTGTGATCGCAAACTCTGCCGCCGTTTATGTCTATTCTGGTAATTGAAATGATTGTCTGAATTAAAAAATTTATTTACAATTTGTTTAATAATTTTTAAAAATATATAATTAGTTAATTTCAATGTCGATAACGACGACGTCATGCAAGACGTTAAGGAAGGATTTATGACATCTTTTGCATCATTTTTGGTAATTTTATATAATTTATCAATAATTGTGTTGTAATTAAAATATTTTATGAAATATTATTTATTTTATCAAAGGTTTCGTGGATTTTGATATATTCTGCACTTTATTTTTAGACATTTATCAAACAAAAGTTTTGCAATTTTTTAAAATGACTACATATTCATTGTTTGAATTGACATTTTTATAGACATAATTTATATGTAAAGCAATTATTTTGTTGTATTGCTAATCATTATCAAGAATTTTGTATAAATAATCAGATTGTTATTGTTATAATCATTTATATACAGAAATATTAAATAGTTTTTTAAAAATTAAACCATTTTGATAAGCGATTTTCATTTTATTTGAAAATATAGATAAATTTTATAAAACTTAATATTAAAACATTTAAATTTATAAATTTGATTATCTTATAGGTAAGTATAGTTATATCTCAAATATATTATCAAATTATAAATACCTTTAATAAAATAAATCTTGATTTACCTGTAATTAAATTTTTACAAAATTATTGATTTTATTTGACATTAATATTAACATTAAATGAGACCAATAGTGACCTCTCGTGTGAATTGAAGTAATGTATGCATTGAAGTGAGTGTTTGAGTCCAATGTATTGTATTTAATGCTATTTATTGTTAGTTTCATTGAAATTATTGAATGCATTGAAAGCCAAACGCAAATCATTGCCAAAAAATGGCGACAAATGTGGACAACGTATCGGCGGTTTCTCTGACCAACAATAACCATATGATTGCCGAACAATTGAAACCAGTCTTCAGAAATGTTGTCATTTCACTTGAAAACTGTATTCTATCTGAAGATAAGCTAACAGTTACTCCATCGATGACCGATGGCTTAGATGCCACTCAAGAGACCGATCTTCGGATTCTTGGCTGTGAACTCATACATACGTCGGGTATTCTTCTACGTCTACCTCAGGTTTGTTGTGATGATTGTGTAAAAAATTTATTTATTAAAGTTAATTAACACTTAGGTTGCGATGGCCACCGGTCAGGTGCTCTTTCAACGGTACTATTACTGCAAGTCTTTTGTAAGATTTCCGATGGAGATCACTGCCATGGCTTGTGTCACATTGGCCTCTAAAGTAGAGGAAGCCCCCCGACGGGTCAGGGATGTGATCAATGTGTTTCATCATATGAAACAAATAAGACAAGAGAGGTATTGATTATATTGTATGCATTGATAATGTAATAATTAGTGGCACTTAACAAGCAATTGATTGAAAAGATTCAGTGTTTTAATCAATATATATATTGAGTGCTATATTAATATAACTTTCAGTAACTTCTCTTTATTATCGTTTATTCAATTGATTTAAGAGTTTTAATGCAAAGTTTATAAATCTATTATTAAAGTAATTAAAATATATTTGTTTAAACAATTTAATAGCGAACCGAAATCATTAGTATTGGATGAGACCTACATATCGACTAAAAATCAAGTGATTAAAGCTGAGAGACGACTACTCAAGGAATTGGGTTTTTGTGTTCACGTCAAACACCCGCACAAAGTATACCTGTTTTTCGTTTGATTAATGTTTAGATTTATTTTAATTATGTCTTAATTTATAGTTTATTGTAACACTTCTTCAAGTGTTGGAGAACGAAAAGAATCAGCTTTTAATGCAGACCTCGTGGTAAGCATTGATTTCATTACTTGTTTACAGTTAACACAAATGTTTTGAAAAACATTTTGTTTTTATTTGAATGCATTTAAAACTAATAATTATTAACGAATTTATTTTAATTTAAATTACAAACTATTAGAGCTAAATATTAAATAATTTTTGTATGCATATTATTGATAGCATTATACAAATCAATTCTTGAATTATTCATTAAATCTTTTATTTAGAGATTTTCTATTATAAGAATTGAATTTATTAAAAAAAATGTTATCAATAATTTTATTTACCGTAATATTATATACTATAGTTGAATATATTTGAATGTCATATTAATTGTTTTTTAATTTGTTGCCTAACAGTCAAATTAGGCGATTATTAGGTAAGTAATTATCTCGATTCCTGACAATGATTGCCTGGAATCAGGAATTGTCAAGTCTTAGCCTCGACTCTGGAAGAGTAAGCCCTGCAAACAATACCTACCGATTATCTATATCTACTTTATAGCAATCTAATGGATTTTCTCGTTATATCAACTTAAGGGACACTTACCGTAATAGTTTGATGTTAAACATACCGGTGTTGATGTGATTATATTGAAAGCCGTCATTATATTAAAATAAAGGTAACTCTTAGTAAGTCTATTGTTAATCACATCGACAGATGGTTTTTGTTAACTACCGGTAATCTTATTTTTTATACAACGGGTTGACAGCTAAACAAATGATGATCTTAATTACTTACACTATATATTATGGTACTCTAAATTGTCAATTATTATAATTAACTATCATTAATGTGATCAATAGATGTGAGCATCTTTTGTCAAGTGATGTCATTCCTCACAAGTGATGACATTAAGCACCGATGCTTACGACAGTGGGTGTGTTGGTGAACGAATCCAAACAATCATCCAATCGTCTTGATTTTGGATTGTCTTTAATCTAATTGATTATAATTAACTTTTGTGATTGACTTTTAACTTCTTAAGTTCAATAGTTTGCAGAGGTTTTCTTTTCCTGAAGTTTTGGCTGAACTATTCCTGAGACCAATCGGTCAGATTTGTGTTGGAAACGATTAATGAATTCGTTAATAATTGTGGTTTTCTTATGGCATTTTCCCGACAAACCGGTAATTATTTATAACAAACTTAATTATATTTTTATTTTTACAGGAATTATATGAATGACAGTTTACGAACCAATGTATTTGTCCGCTATTCACCCGAAACTATTGCCTGCGCTTGTATTTACTTGAGTGCCCGTACTCTTAAGGTATTTGATGTCCATTAAGTCTATAATGTATTATAAGTCCATAATTTATATTTTAGGTCTCACTTCCAAATAATCCCAATTGGTTTGAAGTGTTCAATGTCTCTGAAGACCAAATAAAAGATATTTGTAAGACAATACTAAAGCTATACACTCGACCAAAACCAAATCAACAACACTTGGAATCAATTGTCGACAATTTACGCAAGAATTACGAATCGGCAAAATTCAAGGCAAAGGAGTTGATTGTGACTGAAAACGGAACGCCTAATTCCAATGGTCTCGATATTAGTCCCGGTTCTCGAGCTAATTCTCCACAAGTAATTAAACCGAAACCTATAGAAAAAAATTCGCCTAAAACTAAGCTCAAGTCTGTAACTAACGTTGTCTCGCATACGAGTCCTAATAAAAAGGAGATAACAAATGAATTACCTCATAATGTTGATCATCGAAGTGGCTCTAAATCAAGAAGTATTAGTCCGATAAATAAAGATAGAAATGAAAGAGAAAGGCATAAATCGCCGCCAAAATCATACGCTTACTCGAGATCTCGTTCGCGATCTCGTGAAAGAAGTAGTCATCACAAACATAAACGCATTACTTATAGTAGAAGTAGAAGTCGATCACCGCATTACAGTTCGCACAAACATTACAACCATAACAGTAAATATCATTCATATAATAGCCATAAGTCACGGAAGCGCTCAAAATCGCCGTACGATCGCAGAGATGATCGAAATTCATACCATTCGACTTCTAACAAAAGTCGATCACGAGATTCACGTGATTTCTATTCTTACCGAAAGAGTTAAATCGTGTCATTGAAATTGTTAGCAAAATTACTAATAAAATATTTTAACTACTATTACATATTTTTTTATTAATTACATAAATGTATATTTATATTGAATATTAAATTCCAAATAATGGATAAATATCTGTATATATATATATATATATATATATATGATTATAAAACTGGAAAACACATTCTAAACATTTGTAAAATTTGACAATCAATTGATAACTTGATATCATTAAAAGGCTTTCCATTCATGACTTATTTATAAATACATTTTGACTAATATTTATTAAATCCGTCATCTCTTTCTATTACGTAATCTTGAAGTTTGTGTTCTTCTGGGTCCAGATACCGTTCCCAACGAAAACAGTGATTGTGAAGTGGATTCGGCTGAAAAACTAATGGGTTGTTGAGGAGTTGGAAATGTTGGAGCAGATAATCCGGCAGTGAAACTAATAGCTTGATTTGACGCTATTTTATTGAAATCGGGTATTGATATCGTCGGTGATGAAAACAATGGCATTGATGGTGCAGTCAATATGTTTGATGAGCTTAATGTCGTATTAATTACACCATTAAATAAATTATTTGAATTTAGAAAAGGAGTGGTTGTGGTGGTAGTAGTTGTGGTTATCGGTGTACTTGAAGTTTGAGTCAAGTTTTTGTCACTTGATTTCAATGATATTTCATTACTTATGTTTTTTGAACCACCAAATTGAGTGGTCGCTGAAGTCAATAGTGGCGTTGAACTCGCAAATGGTGTTGTGATTGTCGAAATTTCTGGAGAATTAGGTGCCGAAGTCATCGATACATTGTCCACATTATCGACACTTTGCTTTTGAGGACTTATTGATCCTATAGTTGATGTTAACACAGAAGAGATGGGAGTATTAAGAAGAGTTGTCGTAACACTTGTATCGATCTTAGTGTTTGTAAATATGACTGCCGCCGGTTCTGATGGCAAACCTATTTCTGAGTTAACCTCATTTGAAGTCTTATTCACCAATGATGGCAACAAATTGGAATCAGTTTTAGGGGAAGTGACCGATTTGACGGCATTTAAATAACGACTCAATCGATTTTTAGCTTTATTTCGATCTCTCTCATGATCTGCCATTGAAAACGATTGAATTAAAACTTCATTTGTCTTTACGGGATCAGTCTCTTCATGTTGTTTAATATCAAGTAAAGATTTTGTGTCTTCAATCATAATGTCTGACGTTATATTAGAAGACAATTTTGTAAAATCTGGTGTAATATCTTCATAAGTAACACCTTTTTTAGGCTTCACTTCATCGGAACCGACCGAATCCGGCGTCAGTTTTCGTTTAGCTATAGGTTTACTAATCGATGAATTCTTAGATTGAGGTGTTTTTAAAGAACTATAAGAACTAAAAATTTCATTATTTTTAAATTTCTTGACCACAAACTCTTGTCCATCAGGAGTTTGCCTCTTAATTGACTGCTTATTAATAACAGGCATAAAACCATTTGGTATTTTATGTGCATTTGTTGGTGCAATTGGTTGATCGCGTTTTACTCTTTTATTAGCTGTAATTTTAATGCTATCATCAGTTTCTGAATCAGGTTTTAATCCTCTCTTTCGTTTCAATGCGTCAGCAATTGATTGCAAATTAGATGTTTTGTTTGACATCTCTTTTGATCCGATAGTCGGATCATACGAAGCGGTCATATTTGAAATACGACTTAAAGTAATTCTTGACATACTTTCGGGCATCGGTGCAATCCGTACGGTCACGGGTTTCACTTGTTGTGCATTCAATTTTAATTCATAAGTTGATTCGCGATTACTGGTCGACAATTTAACAGACGAAGTGTTTCCTAATTGAGAATTGGATGACTCTCGGGTTAACCGATAATTAGACAAAGAGCATGTGTCAGAAGCAGATGGAGGTCTAGAAGATAATGTTTGACCGCTCATTGCTCTCAAAACACCATCACTTTGTAGAAAATAATTAGTATTCAATGGATTTGATAAATAGTTGGAAACATAATTATTATCATTAGGTCTCGCGTATAATGAATTATAATGTCTTCGGGCAGTCTTAATATATCTGACACTAGGATTGGCATCAAATCTGTTATCGATTGTAACCAATGAACTGGTCTTTACTCGAGACTTCAGTTTCAAACGGTCAGCATTTGCTTTGCGTTTGTAATAAACTTTTGCCGATATAAACACAATTAAAAATATTGTGATCAATGTTGTGATCAGAATCGGTGACCAAAAAAACATAAATGCCATAAAAATAGCAAATATGGATACAATTGAATACTCGAGTCGATCGGTCATTGTCTTCAGCGACGGGTCTTATCGTTTAAATCAAAGTCGAAATATAATCACATGTTTTGAAAAACTAAATAATTGTCAATTGATTTAACTCTTTTATGGCAATTGTGGCTAAAAATGACACAAATGTATGATTCAAATGATAATAATGTGTTGATAATGACAATCACCACGAGTTGGTCTCAAACACAACGATCGGCGAATCACTCGAAACGTGTGGTTTTGACACTCATTTCAATACATTCAACAAATCAAACCTTCAATATATCGATATATCGGTCAACTATCGATCGATACAACCAATTGTTATAACATATATTGACCGCTATATCGCTATTGTCCGATACACACACCTATTAGCACTAATTATGTCACCGATTATCACCACTATATCACCAATTAGTTGATTACAATTAAATGATTACAATTTATTAATACATTTATTACAACAATCGATAAATTCAAGTGACTATCGATACGATGTCTTAATTTATAATAATGTCATTGCATTTCAAATATGATATTCATTCACACATTACGTTAACTTGAAGTGCATATTATATATACACTGTATTACAGTATTATAGGTTTGCGTAGAGTTAGTAAAATAATAATTCAATCAATTGAGAAAAAAATAGCGCTAGAGATCCTCATTTTAGTATTATGGGTAATACTAGAGGTCCTGTACTACTACTTGACATTAGTTTACATTTGATATCTATGGTAACTAAATATTTGGTCAACTTTTTTGACACAACTCTTAAATTACGTTATCATATTTATTGCTATTAAGCTATTGTGTAAGCAATAAATATGATAACGTAATTTAAGAGTAGTGTCAAAAAAGTTGACCAAATATTTAGTTACCATAGATATCAAATGTAAACTAATGTCAAGTAGTAGTACAGGACCTCTAGTATTACCCATAATACTAAAATGAGGATCTCTAGCGCTATTTTTTTCTCAATTGATTGAATTATTATTTTACACAATTGAACTCAATTGTGGGGATTATTATATGATAAATGATAACAGTATTTGTGAGTTGACTGTGGAATCCAATGTTGAGAACACAATCAATGAGTGATTCGTTGTTTTGGCGCTAAAACAGTGTTTTGTTTGTTACGTAACTTTGAGGACAAACTTTGTTTACAAACACTTGGGATCAGATGTGAGAGATAAACATGAGATCAATAAGGTTTGTCATTCCCATCAAATTGGATGATTTGATCCAATCAACTGGACATCCGGATATCTATTCAGTTCAATATAAATACGACTTACGAGATATTGGCCACAAATTAAACGGTAAGTCCCGATGACTGACTTTCGGTATATATTTCTGATATTTAATGATATCTTTGATGTTTTTATTGAAGAATTGTCTGAATATTTCAAATCAAATGGCATTCACTTTCTTCTTGAGGATAATTTACATAATTTTGATGTCTTTTACTATTGTCTTAAGTGAGTATTGTATCCGTCATATGATATTTAGTTGTAATATAAAGATATGGTATTATATGATAACTATTTGACAGACATTTTACATCATTGGACACAAAACATAAGGAACTGTTGTGGAAACTGATGAGCAAATGTCTTAACACATTATACAATGATTTCGAGACATTTTTGAACCGATTTGATCCAAATGAAAGGGAAAATTATTGTAATCTCTTGAAGATGATTGTCTATGTCTTCTGTACACTAACCGAGTTGTTTGAGGAACAGGACATTAAACAATCGACAAATATTGACTACGAAAATATCGGCAAAAAGACAAACAAAAAGAATAAACGAACCGAAGAGTCATACGGTTGGCAGCAAAACAAAGACAAAGGATTGAGTGTTTTGTTGAGATTACTATCACTGCCATTGCATCGGGTTTTCAATCCACCCGTAGTTGAGGACGAGTTCATTAAGTGAGTTATCTATTGATTTGATTTTACAGTTGATTTATTAATAAATGTATTATATTCTAGTGTTGTAACCAAATGTTGTTACAAAATATTAGAAAATCCAGTCGTTATGCGACAGAAAGATTCAAATATAACAAACAGTGTTTTTCATATAATCGGAAGCGCTATTGAAAAGTATCGGCAGAGTTTGAGTTTGTATTTGTTTTATTTAGTATTTTATTTTAATAAATATATCATTATTTTAATTCTAAATTATTTCTATTTAAAGGTTTTTGTTTAAAGTTAATCCAATTACTTCAGCTTAAAGAACAATTGGTTCCTATATTAGCTAATTTAGTGGATGTTATTGTTAAGAAACACAACCAAAAGTTGATTATAAGTGAAATAATACGTGAAATTAAAAGACTTGATATTAAAGACCTTTCGCGTGACTCAAGTGGTCCCCGATCTATATCTTCCTTTTTGATAGAAGTGTCTGAAAAATGTTCACAAGAAATGCTGTCATCAATAAGTGATTTGTTGGAGTTTCTTGAAGAAGAATCGTATTTAATGAGAAACGCAACGCTCAGTATTATTGGAAATCTAGTTATCAAAGAATTGAGTAAAGATGGTACCAAAGAGCGAAATCTTAGGGATCGATTGCTTGACAAACTTGAAGATCATATTCATGACAATACAAGTTATACTAGAAGTCGAGCTCTTCAGGTTTGGTGTACTTTATGTCAGGCAGAAGTTATACCACTTCCACGACTTGAGACTCTCATTGAAGCAGTTGTCGGTAGACTTCGTGATAAATCATGTTTTGTCCGCAAATATGCCGTTCAGTTTCTAAATCAGTTTTTAACTAAAAACCCATTCGCCGCTAAACTTCCGCTTGAGATGCTCAAGACTTACCATCAAAAAGAAGAAGAAAAATTAAAAGAAATGATAAAACACAATGAAGAGCAGCAACACATGGATATAGAAATAGATAAGAATTCGCAACATATTTGGAGTGATATTGAAATCGATTTCTTAGAATTTTGGACACGACTTGAATCTTCATCTGACATAACACCTGATGATGAAAATGATAACAACTGTAATAACATTGAATTGTTTGATAACGAAGATTTAGATGGATTGCTCAAAGTATTCCGCGATTTAGTTGTCACAAAAAAATTTAAAAGTGCTCTTTCTTTACTTAACAAAATGAAAGAACAGTTTGCAGACAATCAAATCTTTGATGTCGTTGACAGTGATAGCGAAAATATGGAGGTTAGTGATGAAGAAACTGATGATGAAGTAGAAGAAAGTGATGAGGATATGGATAAACAAAACAGAGAAACAAAAAAGTTTGCAATTTTTTATATATAAAAAGTAATTAACAAATTAATTTACGGTATATTTATTTTTAGGAAAAAATCTAAGAACTGTTCAAAACTTCCTGAAATGATAGCATTATCCAAAAAAGTATTTATCGGTAATATTAATAATATTTAAGTTATTATTTAAAAATTTAATTAAATATTTTGTTTATTAGAGAATTCGACTGACGATAAATTAATATTAGATTTGGGTTCAAAAGCTGTTGAAAAAGATATTGAGAAGATTGCGACTGTTTTAATACAATCGAGTCAAGAGCCAACTGATCAACAGTCAAGACCGAGAACTACTACTATTGAAGTGGCCAGACCTTCAATCGGCGGCAACGATGCTATTAATAATGTTAATCGACAACAAGTTTTGGTTAAATATTTGAATGATTGCATCAAATTTACTGAACAAATACAGATTGCTATACCACTTGTGTCTGATTTATTGATGTCCAAAAACATAACTGATGTTCAGGAGGCCATTGAGTTTTTTGTGTCCGCTTATAAATTTGGTGTTAAAGAAGCCATAACTGGTGTTAGAAAACTCATTCTTTTAATTTGGTCTCAAGAGAAGACAATCAAAGACGCAGCGGTTTTAGCGTATAAAAGCATTTATTTGGACTTTGATTCTGATGTAAGACTTGCAGAGGCTTCAGAAAAGGCTAAAGCATTTTCTGTTGTAAAAAGTTTGTCTGAATTAGTAATGGGCGCCACTTTAGGGGAACTCATATCTATTGAACAACTATTAAAGGAATTGATGGACACTAATGACATCCAACAAATCCATATTCAAGTTTTGTGGGAACGCTTTTCAATGAAACTGTCTAACACTACACCTGAAGATAGTAAGGTTGCCATTCAATTGATAGGAATGTTGGCCACATCTAATCCAGAACTGGTCAGATCAGACAAGAATCTGAATGCTATTATATTAGAGGGTTTGGGAGAAAGGGGTCGAAATGATTCGCGTTTGGTTAGTGAGACGTGTATTGCTTTGGGTAAAGCATATCGTATACCAAAAACTGAAACTTCTGAACACTTTTTCCGTTTACCTAAATCTCATGATCTGTTCACTAATTTGAGACAAATATTGGTTAACGGTTTGGATAATTTGAATGATAATTATTATAATATGATGGCAGACAATGTCATAAAAGTATTGTTTCAATTGGCTGAAAATCCTGACTATCTTAGCGAACAATTAATTAAAGAAATGCTTCAAAAGTTAATATCTTTGATACAAAATGAAGAGATTGCTAATGAAAATAAAGAAAATACTGATTCTATTGAAACTGACAGACAATCGATACTTTCATCGCAACAAACAGTAAATTGTGAACAACTTGTTTCACAAACCATTCAATATATTCGTCACATTAACACTGAAATATTGTCACGTTTTATATCAATCATTGGAACCATTGCACTCAATGTCTTAATTCATATAGACTTAAATGTCTTAACAGAACTTAAAATAAGAAATCATATTAAAGAAGAAAAAGATAAGAAAACAAACAAAACTCCCAGAAGAAAGTCTAGAACACCGGGTAAAACACCGGGAACTGTAGGTCCCGATAATAATTTAGAAGAGGAAATTGGTTTGGCCGGCGCTAATGCTATGGAAGATCAGGAACAGGAATACCTGAATAAAATTTGTAACGAAGAAATTGTCATCGGTTTGTTATTTTTCTATTTATTGATTCATTTAGTTAACACTATTTTATTATAGGGAACAACCTATTAGGCCGACTGACCGAACTTGTTGTTACCATAGCTCAGGAACCTTTGACTTTTCCTGACGTTAAGTTGAGAACCGCTGCGTGTCTAACATTAGCTAAGTTTATGACTCTTAGTGAAAGTTTTTGTCGATTGCAGTTAAGACTATTGTTTACAATTATGGAGAAATCAGATGCTATTATTCGCGCCAATACTATTATAGCTGCCGGTGACCTATGTGTCCGATATCCTAATTTGTTAGACCAATGGTCTAAATTCATGTTTGAAAGATTACGAGACAATGATGTTACCGTCAAATTGAATACATTAAAAGTATTGTCACGACTTATCCTATCAGATATGCTTAAAGTTAAGGGACAGATCAGTGAAATGGCTAGACTTATGGTCGATGAAAATGAGATTCTTTCATCACATTCGAGATTGTTTTTTACCGAATTAGGCAAAAAACAAAATGCAATTTACAATGTCTTACCCGATATTATAAGTCATTTGTCGGACACTGAGAACGGTTTGCGCGATGAAGAAGAGTTTCAAACAGTTATGAAATTTATATTTGATTTGATTGAAAAAGACAGACAAACGATATGTTTAGTGGAAAAGTTGTGCCAACGTTTCCGGTCGACAACGTATGTCATTTGATTTATTGCTTTATTTATTTATATTATATTTATGTCAATATTTATATCTTTTATTAGTGATGAGCGTCAGTGGAGAGATTTGGCGTATTGTCTCAGTTTACTCAACTATACTGAACGTTCATTTCAGAAATTACACGAAAATCTTATTTGTTTCGCCGATAAATTATTTTGTGATTTTGTGTACGATTGCATACAAACAGTTGTAAATAGCACTCGAAAGATACCAAACATTAAAAATGAAACAAAACAACTGATCGATGAATTTTTAAATAAAGTAGAAGAATGTCGTACTAAAGGAACCAATGAAGACGATTCTGAGTTCCAGAAAGTGGTCGGAACTCCACCATCAGCTGTCAAACGGCTTTCTTTACATAAGACACGGCCTCACATCTCTTCAAATAAAAAACAAATAAAACAAAATAAGAATAAACGAAAAACAGTGTCTAAAGGTTCTGAAGAGGAAGACACTGAAGAAGAGATTATAATTAATAAAAACCAAAGGACAGTATCTGATCTCAAAATAGACAGACCTAAGCGCGCCGTTAGGAAAATGCCAGTTATTCACGATTCAGATGAAGAAAGTTCTTAATATTGATTACTATATTTTAAAATAATTGACACTTAAATCTTTTTTTTAATTAAAACTATTCATACGTTTATTTTTACCCATATTTTAAACACTTATTTCCCATTATATTCATGATGTAAACATTCTTAAATTAATTTAAAATTAAAACATTACGACACAACTCTATTATTAAATGTATAATTAATTTCAATTTAAGAAAAATTCTAATATTACTCATTACATCAAAATACCAATATTTATCTATTTATAAATTACATCCATTGGAATCATTTACAAACATTATGTAAGACAATGACAATAGACTGATATTTTAGACAAACAAACAAATTATTTTAAACTTAAAATAAACGAATCCAATGAATATATTGATATAATTTATATTACAATATAAATGGAAATCACCGGTAATTCATTCATCCCTATATTTATGTAGTTATTATTAATAACATCATATAATTTAGTGAAAGGGATTTAAAAGAATTTAATATTTCCATTAATTAATTTGACTATTAATTGTTGAAAATTTTAAAAATAAAACATTGGAATAAATGTTAAAACAATTTCAATAATATAGAATAAGTCTAAAAACTATTATATTTATAAAACCGGGTTATAATATTGCAATGAGTTATAAAGCAAACCGGGAATTGTTTCGTTTAATTTATATTAAATATATGTTATAATTCAAATAAATTTCTATAAATTTAAACTATTTTTTAACAAAGGCAGTGATTATAATAGATAATAATTTTGAGATAAAATAGATATAGAGTATAGTTTGCAAAAAAAATCATTAAAATTTTGCAATTAATATTCTAATTCTTGTGTGGATTTCTAAAGTTTTTTCCGGCGTAAACAGCATTAGCACCCAATTCCTCTTCAATACGTAATATCTGATTATATTTAGCCAACCGTTCGGAACGACACGGAGCGCCTGTCTTTATCTGACCGGTCGATAATCCGACAACGAGATCGGCGATAAACGAGTCTTCAGTTTCACCACTTCTGTGTGAAACCATTGTTCCCCAGCCATCACTTTTGGCCTTTTGATGACTGTTTTGACAGTTATTTATTTAATAAATATTTGTATTCAAATACAAAATAAAAATTCTTACGCTTGAATCGATTCGGTGACACTTCCGATTTGATTAACTTTTAGTAAAAGACAATTACAGGCTTTCTTATCGATTGCTGTTTGAATGCGCGTCGGATTAGTTACCGTTAGGTCATCACTAAAATCATATCAAACTATTAACAAATAATTTTATTATTAAAAATATAAATATAATACCCGACAATCTGGATGTTAGTGTTAGCCGTAAGTTTAGTCCAGGCGTCCCAATCGTCCTGATCGAAGGGATCTTCAATAGAAACCATTGGATTTTCTTTAATAAATTCTTGATAAAGATTTGCCAATTCGTCCGGTGAAAGCCATTTGGTTTTATCGGAATTAGGATTTTTGAAATCCAAATCATATTTGCCTTCTTTATAGAACTCACTGGCGGCGACATCCATACCGATTTCAATGCTGCCCTCATAACCGGCTAATTTAATAGCTTTATTAATGAGAATCAATGCATCCTTATTGTTAAGAATATTTGGTGCAAATCCTCCCTCATCTCCAACAGCGGTCGCGTCTAAACCAAAATCTTTTTTGATAACATTCTTTAAGTGATGGTATGTCTCGGTTCCCATTTTCATAGCCTCGGTAAAAGATGAAGCACCGGTAGGCAAAATCATAAACTCCTGCATAGCAAGCTTATTACCCGCATGAGAGCCACCATTGATTACATTAAAAGCGGGAACCGGAAGAATTATTTTTTTATTGTCGGCCAAATCAGCAATGTGTTGATATAGAGGAACTCCCTTTTTGGCAGCACCGGCCTTACAAACTGCAAGTGAGACACCAAGTATGGCATTAGCGCCCAACTTCTTTTTGTTTGAATCGCCATCCAATGCAATCATAAACTCGTCGATCTTTTTCTGATCCGTTTCGTCAAAATTCTAAACAAATCAGTTATAAAATTAATTATTTGTTGTATTCAAACAAAAATTATGAATTACTTGTGCAATAAGTTTGGGTGAGATTTCATTATTTATATTATTGACTGCTGTAAACACAGATTTCCCCATATATTTGGTCTTATCGTTGTCGCGAAGTTCCAGTGCCTCATAGATACCAGTGGAAGCACCGCTGGGAACGGCAGCTCTGAACAGTCCTAATGTAACAATTTGTAACAATTTTTTATCATTTAATTAACAAAAATCCATCCATACATTACATTCAAACAGTCATATAAATTATTACATAATAATAAACTATATATTAAATATTAATATTTAACATCATTCAAACATTTTTTGTTTTTTTTTAAATAAATGTAAATTATTTGCAAAAAATTAATTATAAATAGAAATTACTTTTTTTTAAAAAAAACCCCTTTACAATAATGTATATTACAATATAATACCCATATATTATTTAGTCACATATAAATTAATATTACTGTACCACTAAATATAGTATTTAAAAATTATATACACTGTATATACAGTATTATTACTATTCATTGATAGAAATTTGCTTAGAATATAATCGTAACTCTAATACTACAGTACTGTACATATGATATGCAATAATTGCACAGATATTACAATATACCGGTATATCATATACTTTACAATACACTACAATATTAACCACATTTCATAATATCAAAATGTACAAGGTCACTTCTAATGTCAATTTATTCAATTATTATAATATTAATTAATTAATAATTATTTTCTATTAATTATAATACAATTTCTAAATAAATAATTAAATTTATTTTATTAATGTATAATTAAATGACATTTCAATGATAAAAATTGGTGACAATTAGGACATACCATTATCAGTGGTCAGATCCACCTCAACGGTGGGGTTTCCTCTGCTGTCGAAGATCTGTCGGGCTTTGATTGTCTTAATCGGCATTTTGTTAGCAATTGATTTCAAAGATGTAATCAATGGTAATAATTGTGAAGACAGTGTTAAACGCCTAATGAATATAACGTTCAGTCAGTCTATAGTCTCTGAAAAGTGATCGTCAAATGAATCTATAGTTTACTCAATGTCTGCAATGACTTAACGCTTATAACTGATTGCATAACATGTCAACCAATGACTACAGACCTACCAGTGCTCTACCACTCCATACACTCTCACACTTTGACTTTGACCCACAATTCAAGGACTATTTTCAAGGTCATCATAACCCTGTCCTTAACATCGGCTAACTGGTCACTGGACACACATGTTATGCGATACTGATTGTCATAATATATTGATTGAGTTAACTATAGATGAGATCAAAACACTTACCAAAACACAAGAAGGATATTAAATCAAAATTTCAATCATTTGATTGCTATAAAGGTTTAGTAGGTATGACTTGTATAGAGGACAGGGAGACAAGTGATTCATTGATTACATAACTGCACCCAACAGAGGGCACACTTCAACATATCAATGATTGGATGGAAATGTTTGTCAAAGTGGACACAAAACAGATATGATATTTAAGACAATATTAATACTAAAACTTTAGATAAAAATACCAGTCATTGAATCCAATCATTTGTCAATCAATCAGTCAATCAATCAATTGTTGGTCATTTGAATCACTTATTATAACATCTTTGATGACATATGAAGATAATGAACGAAAAGTCATATGATTTGAAAATAATTGAAATAATGTAATGACTGAACAAAAAGTGATACTTTAATAATGACAGACAAGAAAACAATACATATGAAAGAAGACTTTATCGATCACTGGACGAGTCCAACACTTGTGGTCAATATTGTCATTTGATTTGTTAATCATTTTATTGAATTTGTTTGTATCATAATTGATGTAAAGGTGCGATCAATTGGTCCCAAATTGGTGCCATTCTTCAAGACAGTTGCCATATATTTGGTTTTAGCCGATCGCGAGAGTCCTTCATGGCTGACGTGTCTATTGAAATGTCTACCTATTATATGGCTCTGTATTTTTGTGATACTTCATGGCATGAGTTTAGGTGAAGAACATGTTTACTCTCGAAGAATACTAATAGGTTTAGTACTGTCTTGTATTGGCGATGCGCTACTTGTTTGGCCACAATGTTTCATATGGGGAATGTTGAGCTTTGCACTGGTATTTAAGCAGTTAATTGTATATATATTTTAGTATATAATTATCTATTATTAATATATCGGTATTAAGGCTCACATCTCATATATAATTGCTTTTGGTTTCTATCCGTTTAATGTAAACTCTGGAGTTATTTTTGGTTTGATTGGAGCAATGGTTCACTATATAATGTATCCAAAACTTATTGGTAACGAAACAAATGTATTTGATATACTTTTATTGATAATTACTACAACTACTACTACTACTATTACTACTATAGGTACAGTATTTAGTATAGCGGTTCCCGTTTATAATGTTTTGTTGTTAACAATGGTTTGGAGAGCAGTGGCCAGAGTGGAGGGTTTTTTTCAAGACCTATGGACGTGGACTAAGTTGTGCTCATGTTTTGGCGGTATTTTGTTTGCCATTTCTGATACATTGCTTGGTCTGAGAGAGTTCGGGCTAATTACACATATGATGACTGGTGCTCAATGGCAACTATTGGTGATGTCCACCTACTATTCGGCTCAGTTCGGTATTGCGCTATCAGTTGTTGACAGGAGTGCAATGGCAGCACTCAGTGCTACCACTGATTCTCACTTAAGATTCACTTAAAAAATCATTATAAATGAAGTACAAACTGTGTTATAGTTTTGAAACTACCGGTAATTGAAAGTTCTTAAGGAAAGACATTCCAAAGTCATGTATTGTCTCACTATTTGGTCATTCCTTCATTCGGTATATTTGTGCCAATTATTTCAAAATGATTTAAATCTTATCAATTGTTATTTATTTCAACTACTATAGCATTAGTTTGTTTATTGATATTTTAATAAATAATAGTAAATAAGTAAAAATTACGAATTATTATCAGTAATAATAATATATACAATATTTATAAAAAATTGTAAATAATTTTTATGCAATGATTTTAAGATATTTACAAAAATGTCGGTGACTTATAAAGACTTGATCTCCTGTTTGGTATAATTCCTTTCTGTCTTAATCTGCGAACCGCTTCACGAATATGTTTTGGCTGAAGAGGACCAGTCTCTCCATTTTGTTCCATTACATCCAAACCTATTGACAATAACAATAAATTTTTGCCATTTACCGGTAATAATATCAATTATTATTAACAATACCTTCTTCGACAACTTCACCAACAAATACTTTAGCGATTCCGGAGACAGCAATAACTACATTCTGAGACACCGAACAATTTGTTATGGATTGCATCAACTATTTAATCAAATAAATAGATATTATCAATACATTTCTTATAACTGATCCCCAAATCTTAATAAATTACTCTTTTGATGGCTGCCTTTGGAAATGCCGATCGTCTGTACATTTCATATCGATTTAGCTGTTCTTCAGAAAAGTTTGATACAAGAACTCTGTGAAAAACAATCACTTTAATAGCCAATCAATGAAAACCAATCGATCATATGATATGTCACCAATTGGTCACAATTGGTCATCACTTACTGCATGCGTTCTCTTTCTTCTTCTTCCATCTTTTGTTTCAACGCTTCCATCTTTTCTTTATCTTCGATGTCTTTAATAGCATCTTTTGCATCTGTTTTTGGTTTGTTATTACCATCTTTATTGATACTTTGATTGCCAATACTGTTATCTAATTTGTCTTCACCACCGATGCTGTTATCGTCGTTGGATTCGTTATGAGTGTCACTTGTGTTGTCATCACTGGCATCATCCGTGTCCTCACGTTTTTTGGCCAATTTTGATACTTCTGGTAATTTGATGGTCAAAATGGGTGACTCATTGCTTCTGTTTTTGCTATCCATTGATAATAAACATTAATATCAATGAAGTAATTGTTTTGTATATAAAGTAAACAAAATTTTATTATTTGAGTCAAACATACAATCAATACAAATGAATGACTGCTTTATAAAAGTCATTCAAATAATTAATTACATATTTCAACACAATTTATAAAATAAAAATGTATTTAAAGTTAATTTTGAGATTAATTTTAAATTAATTTAGAAAAAATATTTACTAATTAATTGATACAATAAATAAATGAATTGAAATATAAAAAAACGATTAATAATTAAATGAATTGATATTATTAAGTGTAACGTTATAAGTGTTTGTGTATTTCATATACAGTTTTATTATATTAATATTATAGTCGTAATACAAATAATACAATAATAATAATAATAATAATATAATGAATAGTTGTTTGACTCAAAAATAGTTGTCTTTTTGTTGATGTGTTTGTTGTTTGTATTAAATTAATATTATTAATAATTAATATTTTTTATAAAAACATATCATTTATAAACCAAAAATCCTAATTAAATGCTTTATTTATTGATATTAACTAACAATTGATTTGTGTCGTCAAATAAGATATTGATTGATACAAACAATTGGATCTGATTTGTGGTGCAATCATATCAATGATTTATGTCATATAATTGACACAAAAAGTGGTAAATAATGAATAAATTTAAATAAATAATACATTTATTTTGATATCTTTAAAATCAAATCATTTAATAATATGTTAATAAAATGCATTATTTTTATTTGCAAACTATAACTAAATGAGTTGCCATTGAAATTGTTTTGCAGATGAAAGTGAGCCTCATTTGAATCTCAAGACATTAAGTGATTGTCTGATTGAATAAACCGTTTGATTTGCATTTTGATTAATTTGATTGCCATTTGTTGGGATTAATCGTTAGGTAAGAAATTGATTGAAATCTTGTTTTTTTGCATTAAATTTCAATAACAAATTGATGTCCAACTGAGCGATAATATAATAACAATACTTTAAAATACAAATAATAATAAACAATATCTTATAAGTTATAACTAATGATACAATCTTTTATTTGTTACACATTTTTATTAGGTTTAATATTTTTCAGATATTCATTGAATTATTGATAACAAAAAATAATATCAATTAGTTTGGTTTAAAGTCATTGCCATTTATAGCAATGAGACATCACTTAAATGTTAACCAATTGACTCAAAATAACTACAATAATAAAAATGCATTTCATTGTAAACGATATATCACTTGATTTGCTGAGACATATCTCAACATTTTTATAATTAATTTAATGCATATATAAATTATTAAACTGTTGATAGGGTTTAATTTATTGTATGAAATCTATAGATGTTTATTATGAATATCAATAATACTAATAAATTATTGTATTTCTTAATTTCCACTTAATTTCAATGTCAATGTTTTAACAAATATAATGTTTAATTAAGTATTACATATCATAACTATTAAAGATATTTGTTAGAAATATCAAATTTTAATCAACAATTAAATTTTTATGACTAATAATTAAATATCAATTGTTTGCCCTAAACGGTAATTTTATATTTTAGAGATATTAATATTTTTACATATATTTTTATTTGGAAAAATTGAATTACAAGTATAAAACTATATTAGTATATAATTTATATTAGAAATTTAATTAGCTAAATTAAAATTAAACAAAATCATATCAACGATAAGCACAATGCAAGTGTAGAAATAATAATATACAATACAATTCAAATATTGCAAACAACATATTTAACATTTTCTGACCTCTTTTTCAGCAAATATTTATAAAAAAATGTGTAATTTTTAAAAAAAAATAAAATAGATGTATTTAATTTAAGTGTATTTTATTAAATTTAAGGTATTTGTAATATACCTACGGTAATGGCATAATAACATAATCTGATTTATTATTTATATTTTTTTAATTTATTAATGTAAACATTTTGTGTTGTTTTCAAACTCAAAATCATATCACAATTTAATTGAAATGTTTATAAAAACTTAGAAAACATCTGTTGAATGATGTTATGACTGCTATGAACCACTTGTTTGAAACAATAAAAGTTATGATTATAATATTAACTCAATTATTATTAATTACTTATATGACTATTGAAACTGAAAGTTGGTATTAAACTTATGCCAAATTAATTGAATGGCCTTTTATTTAATGTTTTATCAAATTGTTTAGTCTGTAAATGACTCGTGTTATAAGTATATGGTTTATAATTTAACTTGAAATAGGTTTGTCAATACATTTGTTGAGATAAATGATGTTAAATATGCTATAAAATAATATACAGTATATTGAAAACAATGGTGTGTTAAATGCGGTGAAAGACACGCCCGAAGATGTATTAGTTGTGAACAAATGAGCAAATCTTATGTCAAATATGTTTGCATTGAAATCGACAAAACTATTGTCGACACTCTTATCTCTGCCACTCTTTTGCTCTCTCTCTCTCTCTCTCTCTCTCTCTCTGTGGTTGTCTCTCTCCTCCCCTTTTGTTGATCACTTCCCCTCTTCTAAACATTTAGTGTCACATTTATGTTGAATTAAATGAAATGACTTAATATATTAATGAATAAATTATTTTAAATCCGTTTGAATGCATAACACAATGATAAGTGATTATTGTTATCGTAATAAATATATAAAAGGGTTTGTGGTTTGATGTATAACTTAATTCCTAATCTATTGATAACAGTGTAGAGTTGCCAAGTGATCACTCATTGCAATCACTTGTACTGTATATCAATAGACACTATTTGTATATTAAGTTTTGTATTTCATTACAATCATAATTATTGCTAAACTGTTATGAGCTTTCAATCGACTTATTTGATATGAAACAACTAACCAATACTAACGAGTTATTATTCAATACACTATTGCACTGATTGTAAATAATAATATTAAAAATATGAATTTGTTATTAATATTCATTTATATAATTTATGAAGAGTTGTGTTAATTTACTTTAATGTTTGCATTTTATTAATTGATATAATTGTGATTATTAGTATATCACTTACAGTTGTTGTTTATATTTGAACATTAATTTTTTAATTGAATTCATTCATAATTTTTTTAATTAACTTTTAATAAGCAGTTATAAAATATATAAAAAGTTTGATAAAATGCGAATTTGGAAATCAAAATCATCTAATAATGTAAGCAATTTCATGGCAAACATATTTTTGATATTTTATATATGAATTAGATATTAAAAAATACGTATATTATATATGTATTTGATTTTCCAATATATGTTATACTGAACTCATATGTATGGCTGAGAATTAAATTACAAATAATTTAACGAAATTATATACAATATAATTGCATATATAAATTTAATATACATTATTAATGCTAGATTATACATTTTAGAGTTTGCATGTCTCAATTTTATGTACAATATATAAATACAGTATATAATTATCACATTAAAAATAGTTTAGATGACAAAAAATATTTATATATTTTACTGCATATAATTTACATTTAATACTTTTTATATTAATATGTATTTATACTGTAGTTGAATGTTATTGTGCTAATGTGCTTGTATGCTGTGATGTAATTGTATATATTTTTATTAAAATGCTAATATAAGTGTATTTGTGATATCAGATTGTTTTGTATGGCACCTATTAATAACTTAATTTAATATATAATATCAATACATAGATTTGCATAAAATAAATAAATTTTAATTACAAAATAATTAGCCATTTGAGTGAATTATTAACGGCAATCACGAGACCTGTCTAACAGGTTGTCTCTGTTATATAACTGGTATTGAATCCGGAGTTATTATTTCAATGTTTGTATATTGTCTTATAATTAGACAATACTATATTAGGTCACATTTCCGATGGACTAATCATTGTTTAGCAAACCATAATAACATAATATTAAATTTATACTTTAAAAGTCATTCAATTTAATGTAATATTGAATTTCATTTATGGATAAAGTAGGCATTAAGTTATTAGTTAATGGTATAGCTTAGCAAATAATTGTATTTTAATCGACAAACAACGGGTCATAAAACAACAAAACTTGATTTTTTGTTGAAAAATATTGACTTTTTCAAGCAATTGGTCGCACATTCACACCATTCATATGATTCACTCAAGTCTTCCTATTGTAGTCTTAATAAGTTTGGTAACAATATTAATATGTTATACTGTAATACAAAACTACATCCCTATGCCATTTGGTATGTGCTTCACAATAGCCGTGTATTTGTTAAGTAACCGTTTGATATTGACTTTAGGGCCAATTTTCACCTGTTTTAGTTGTTTTGCTATTAGTGCAGCTATGGGAGTACCATACAACTATAATATCAATTGTTTTGTTATTACTAAATTTATTTTGAAAACTTCATTTACACAAAAATGCAAATGTTTTGATAAAATGTGTTACTATAAATTAATTTAAGTTTTGTATAATATTTTTTATTAACATATTAAAAAAATTGTAACGAAACTATGAAACCATAAACTTTTGTTTATACAAATAGACAAATTGAATATACCGTAAATCTTGTTATAAAACTTTATGATATTTGTTTTTTATATTTGCATTTGTTTTAAGTGTCAAAACATTTTCATCGACTTTTATTAAATAATTGATTAAAAGTTTGCTTTTTTCAACAAATTGTATAATTTATTGCTTTTATTTTTTTATTAAAGTTGTTAAAGAAATTTGTATATATGTTTGATTTTTGGACTTTTAATGTAAATAAATTGAAATTACATTTCAATCATAATGTAAGTTAAATCAAATATTATTTTAATTTATAACCAATGTTTTGATTTTTACTTAAAATAATTATTTTTTTATACAGTATATACCGGTACTGCTTATAATTATGACTTGTATGTTCACTAGTGTTCAAAGTTTTATTTAAATTTTGAAATTGCAGTTTATGTTAAGTTTAAAAATACTGAAAGATTAATAAAAAGTATTTCTAACATTGGTATTGTTATTCAAATTAATAAACTTATTATATTTATTTTTTATATGTCGGCAAACGTTGATTAATTGTTTTATTAAAATAATAATTGAATCATTGTTTTTAACTTTAAGTTTAACTTATTATTTCAATTAATATTTGTGTCTAACAATAATAGCAAATAATTAATATGTAGCTAAATAATACACAATATCTAACTGTTAAATTCTAACATTATAAAAAATATACTGCTTCTCATATAAATTAATTGAAAATTATAGATGGCTTTAGATGGCAATATTTTAAACTTAAATTCATATTAAATGTTAATGACTTAACACTAATTTTAACAAAACTTATTTTATTAAATTTATCAATAAATATAGTGTTTAATATAAAGTTATATATATTGGTACAATTACATCATATTTTTTGGTATTTAAAGTACTGTAAATATAAATAATTAATTTAGCATGTAACAATTATTTTAAAATTTTATTGGACAATATAATATGTAATTATTTAATATTACTTGTAATTTCCGGTTATTAATAAGTTATTATTACAAATATTTATGGTATATGTGAATGTGTTAGTTGTTAATACGATAATGTTATGATAATATAGATAGTTATGAGATATGCCGTTAGAAAATTGAGTCCTTACTCCCATTCCCATAGGTATACAATGTATACAATGTATACTATACATCATTTTATTTATATAAAATACTTCATATAATTATATGATATTTATATTATATACAAATGTTATATTTTTTTATACCTCTTTCGTTGTGCTTATCAATGTATTTTTGTCGAAATAATTTTTTTAATAACTTAAAATTTATTTACAACTATGATATATCAACCTTTTAACGGACGGATAAATTATAACAAATAATATAAACAATACATCTATCGATCAAAATGGGCATCAATTATGTTACTAATTAAGAAAATAATATTTTTTAATTTATATATGAAATAATACCGTAATAACTCAATATATACATTTAAACAATCTTATAAGCATTCATATCATATTACCGTCTTCCCATAGTTAACTCATGTTTTTAAAATTAATACCGTCTACCCACAATAATGTCAATTTTTTTTAAAAAGCACCGTTTTCCCATATTAAAAATAGTTTTTTTAAAAAGTACCGTTTTCCCATATTAAAAATAGTTTTTTTTAAAAAGTACCGTTTTCCCATATTAAAAATAGTTTTTTTTGAAAAAGTACCGTTTTCCCATATTAAAAATAGTTTTTTTTGAAAAAGTACCGTTTTCCCATATTAAAAACAGTTTTTTTTAAAAAGTACCGTATTCCCTTATTCAATACATCCACACAAAAAACAACCATATATCTATAACAGTAATTTAGGATATACGGTATTACATTGGAAATAAGTAGTCATAATATAAAAATAAGATAGTATTTTATGTAAGAATATAATAGCAATAAAATATGGTATAAATCTATAAAAATTTATTAGTTAAGGGAATACGGTATTATAAATTAGTTTCATTAATATTAAAATATAATAAAATAAGGTAAAGATTGTGAAATTATATTAATTTAATTAAATAATATGAAAATCATTTAAATGTGAGGTAATACGGTAAAAATTGTGAAAATCATTTAAATGTGAGGTCATACGGTAAAAATTGTGAATATTATTTAAATGTGAGGTCATACGGTAAAAATTGTGAATATTATTTAAATGTGAGGTCATACGGTAAAAATTGTGAATATTATTTAAATGTGAGGTCATACGGTAAAAATTGTGAATATTATTTAAATGTGAGGTCATACGGTAAAAATTGTGAATATTATTTAAATGTGAGGTCATACGGTAAAAATTGTGAATATTATTTAAATGTGAGGTCATACGGTAAAAATTGTGAATATTATTTAAATGTGAGGTCATACGGTAAAAATTGTGAATATTATTTAAATGTGAGGTCATACGGTATAATTTAATAGTTTTATATAATTTTTAATTTTGGGTCATAATTTATGGACAAAAATTTTTAATTCAATGTTTTGTGGTCCGTCCGTTGAATGGGGATTAGAGAAAAGTAATTTAATAAATAAATTAAACTATTTTTTAATTTTTTAAAAAATTTGTTGTCTTTACTAATATTTTCTTAGATATTTAACCTGTATATAAAAAATAAACAATTGATTAATTAATTATTAATCTAATTATAATTAATTTTCAAACTTACCCTTTATTTCATCCACTATTGCGTTAACCAGACGTTGTCCTAATTGGGATCTAATTGTGAATTTGTGTCCAAATTTTTTACAAATTTTACATTACTTTATGAGAGGTCATATAAATAGCTATCAAATGACCCCTTAATGACAACAATTGATTAATAAATAACATAAATATTTAATTATTTACTTTATCCGTCCGTTAATTGGTTATCCACTATTAGGTGGATTTATAATATCTATAATGTTTAGATGAAAGCTTTTTCAATTATATGATAGAAATGAAGTTTTTAAATAAAAAGCTTTTAAATTAGATATAAGTTTGATATTAAGTATATATTATATAAATCGTAAAACACGAAATGCCATTAACTATACATTTTAACGATTACTTGTACTATTTTTAAAATATATATATATATATTGAATATGCTTTTATAAGTTATAATTTATAACATATTTGATTATTTTTAGTGATATACTTCCCTATTTTGTGTCGATTATATTATATTATTTATATTTCACTTTAATGACCTGTTATTTAATCAACAAACAAAAATATTTTTATCAATTGTTTGTATTATCAAATAATCTCATATCTTATGGCATCTCATATCTTAACTCTAGCATAGAGTAGTACCGAAAATGGCGACCACTACTGACACTACTGGCCAACAAGCGATCAGATTTAGTGGCCATACATTGGATAAGGCGACTAAAGCCAAGGTTCATCTCGAAAACTATTACTCCAATCTGATTACACAACACATCGAAAGGAGGAACAGGTATGTCGTGTGTTATGTTTACTACAATTTTAATTGTTTTTCAATTGAAATAATTATTACATTGTATTTTAATATTACATTTACATATTTAGTATATTTTTGAAGTTTTAATTGTTAAAAATGTTTCATAATTTATTCATTTGATTTTATAAATGATAATATTTTATGCCAAATGATATTGAATGATAATTTATGTAATAATAATTTTATAATATTTTCCTTATTAATTAAAATATATACAAAATAAACACATTATTATTATGTTAATTTATATAAAAATGATTTGATTTTTAATAATTACTAAATGAAATGTTTATAATTATATAGTTGTATTAGTTAGTTGAACTATACAGTACAGTATATTTATATTTTTTATTGAACTTATTTTTTAATTTTATTATTTATTTTGCTAAAAATGTATGTTTTTACAAAATAAGTATTTATATAAAATAGAAATGTTATGTTATTAATATATAAGTAAATTATTATTTTTAAAAATGTTTTATATATTTCAGACACGAAAGACTAGAAGAGTCGATGAGAGATGAAGGTCTGACTGAAGAACAAGTAAGCCATATGTTTGCTATAAATAGCAGTTGTTTTTTATAATAGATTTAATTGTTTTTTTAGAAACAAGAGAAACGAGTCCAACACGCAAACAAAGAAACTGAATTTCTTAGACTTAAAAGATCACGACTCGGTGTTGAAGACTTTGAACCTTTGAAAGTGATAGGAAGGGGAGCTTTTGGAGAAGGTATACAACCAGTCATCTTAATATAGCTTTTATTCATTGAATTGTTATTTAAACCAACAATTAGTACGATTGGTTCAGAAGAAAGACACGGGTCATGTATATGCTATGAAAATATTGAGAAAAGCAGATATGTTAGAGAAGGAACAGGTAGCACATGTTAGGGCTGAGCGAGATATTCTTGTTGAGGCTGACCATCAATGGGTTGTCAAAATGTATTACAGTTTTCAAGATATTATGAACTTATATCTCATTATGGAAGTAAGATAATTGTTTATTTAAAATATATCAATTGTTGGACATTGATCTGTAATTTAATGATATATTATATTGAACTACAGTTTCTCCCGGGAGGGGATATGATGACATTGTTGATGAAGAAGGACACCCTAACTGAGGAATGCACTCAGTTTTATATCGCTGAGACTGCTTTGGCCATCGACTCGATTCATAAATTAGGTTTCATTCATCGAGACATTAAACCCGATAATCTACTTCTTGACGCAAGAGTTAGTCATATGTTTGAATAATAAGATAATGATATACTAAATGAAGTTTTCAATGAATTTAGGGACACATAAAGTTGTCTGATTTTGGTCTCTGTACTGGTCTTAAAAAATCACATCGAACTGAGTTCTATAGAGACTTATCTCAAGCAAAACCCAGTGATTTTACTTCTAATCCAATGGACTCTAAACGTAGAGCTGAGAGCTGGAAGAGAAATAGGAGACAATTAGCTTATTCTACAGTTGGAACTCCTGACTATATTGCACCCGAAGTATTCATGCAAACTGGTTATGTCTCGAGGTTTGTTAGTTTATTGTTACGTCAATTAACTTACCGGTAATTATTAATATTTTTATTATCAAATAAAGTGCCGATTGGTGGTCACTTGGAGTTATTATGTATGAGATGCTTATTGGTTATCCCCCTTTTTGCTCGGAAACACCACAAGAGACATATAGAAAAGTTATGAGTTGGAGGGATACTCTCATCTTTCCACCCGAAGTGCCCATTAGTAATGAATCGCGAGATATGATTCAGAGGTTTTGTGCCGAAGCGGAGAAGCGCATCGGTGCCTGTGCTGGCATTGAGGAGATTAAAGAGCACTCATTTTTTAAGGTTTGCATTGAAAATATTAATTGTGAATTAAATTGTAATTTTTATTTATTTTTTATTTTATCAAAATAGGGCGTTGATTGGGAGCATATTCGGTAAATTTCTAGTTTTATAATTTCATAAATTGATAATATATATGAAAATTTATTTTTATATAAATACACCGAATGAATGTTCATTTATTACAATTTTTATTGACATTTATTTGTATTTTGGTTTCAGAGAAAGACCGGCAGCCATTCCTGTTGAAGTTAAGTCAATAGACGACACCTCCAATTTTGACGACTTTCCTGATGTCGATCTCAAAATACGTAAGTTATTAATATTAGTTAAACTAAAATTAATGTTTATAATATATATTTGATTTTATATTAACAGCTTCAGCGCCTACTAAAGAGCCCGAAACGGCTGGTCTTAAGGATTGGGTTTTTATAAATTATACATTTAAAAGATTTGAAGGCCTAACTCAAAGAGGAAACAAAACTCCCCGAAAAAGTTAATTACATTAATAAGTATACAACATATGAAAACAACAAATGTATTGAATTCGTTGTTAAACATTATTCTCAATCGATATCTTTATTTGTATAGAAACGCTTGGTTTCAGTTTATTTATTATATTATCTTTTCGTTTATGTTTAATATATATTGAAAACAACTTTAGTACAATTTATTAAGTAAATCATCGAAAATACATGAATTTCTAGTCATATAATGTATGTCTAAATTTACGTTTTTATATTAATTAAACATTCGATGAGTAAATAAATGTTATAAATTTTCATTAATAGATTTTTCACTAATTTTGTTGCACCAATTGATATATACTATAGTATTCTCATATTTATTATAAATAATTGCCATAAATTAATTGTATTGATATTTGTTAATGACAGCCAATTAAAACTATTGTAATATTTTTTGTAATAACATTTTTTAGCAAATATTTCTTTATGTACCTTATTATTTATATTTTAAATTACACTGAAATTTAAGGCAATAAAAATTAAAATTGTTTTTAATATAAAATAATTGTATTTTATTTTAAAAGTGCTCAATAAAGTATAATAAATAATATATATATAAATAAAAATACAAACATATTTCAAATACTTAATTATTTAAAAATAATTAAAAAACAGTTTAAAAGAATAAATTATTTATGAAATGATATGCTATTTAATGAATTAAAATATGATGTGAAATAAATAAATAAAATGATAAAATTATAAAATATAAGTTAAATAACAAAATATGATTTCAAAAATGACATTTGAATTGTGCTTTTGCTGAGAATATTTTAAACGAGAGAACAACGAGAGAGACATTTGTTGACTAGTTTTATGTTAATTTAATTATCAATTAGTTTATGAACTGATTTTAAACATTAATATATTTATTAAATATTTTTTTATATAACCAAAAAAGCAACGAATCTATTAGTTAGTGATTGCATTGATCAACGATGTCTCCCATACACTACTGTCCTTATCTCTGGCCAACAGTTTATCGAAATTATTAGTTTGAAAATAATGGTCGCGTTTACGTCTTCTCCCACTAAAAATAATATTTATAAAAAATTAGTTTTATTATTATATACTATATTTAAACATTATTTTTATTATCTTTTATAATATTAAATTAAATATAACAAATTAATTTAGTAAATAACTATAATATTTTATTTAATTAGAATAATATTTGTTTATTAGTATATACTACTGTATTATATTATATGTTTATTATTACAAGTTTTACTTTTATTATTCAAATTATATAAATTTTTATTTATGTCAGCATATATTTTATATGATTTAATTTAAATAATATTAAATATATTGATATAAAACTACAAATACTAACATCTTTGCCGGATCTATGAGTCCATAAGCAACTGGTGTACGAGTCCTTAAGTTTTCTCTCAATCTCTTCAGTTCGAGAAGTGTTTCCAATTCGGCGAGTCTTTGATCTGATATTCCACTTCTTTTTTCACTATATTTTTGATAAACAGAAATAAATTGATAAAATTGTTTAAATTTTCGTTTTTATTCTCTAAGTTTCTAATATAAATCGATTTCAAATCTAAAACTTAATTTTTATTTAATAATTGATAAAACTTTTTATGAAGCACTTAGAGTACGGCCTAACCTGTGCTCTATATTTTATAACAATAAAACATTTACCGTAAGATAAATATACTGCTATTTTATTTATTTATTTTTATTAAAATACATACTACTATTACAACACTAATATAATAGACTATATTTATTATATGTTTAAAGATTATATATATGTTATTTCGTGTGTAGTGTAGTGTCCGATATTTAGCACAGACTAACAATCAATATATTAGATAGTATTTGTAGTGCAATAATACTATATTTGCTTTTTGACTAAATTACTTGTTTATACAAAGTTAGTCTTACAAACCAATATAAACACTAATACAATGACAAACAATTTATTTCAATTCAGGATTGACTAAACATAATATATTTGATTACAATATAACAATTAAGTAAAGTTATTACATAACAATATTTGAATCATAAATTTTAAAATTAAATATTGCTACTAAAAAATTATTTAAGTGTAAATTAATTTTTTTTTATTATTTATATGCATTTTTTATAAATTATTTTAAATAAAAATTGAATTTAAATATAGATTATAAATAAATGTAACTGTAATGACTGTAAATAAATCTTAATTTTTATCAATGAATAAATTCATAATTAAATTTAAATTTTTGATTTTTTATATAAAATTTTATTGATAAATTATGTATATTTGTTATTATTTTATACTTTAAGTTATAATAATAAGCAATATATTAATTTATTTGTTTATATTTCTTATATAATACAATACAATATCTTAATTCAATATTATTACTACAGTATATTTCATTAGTACTCAAAATAAATATCAAACATATCATTATTTTTTTATTTTAATGGCTCACTCACTATAAAAACAAAAATGTTATAAAATTTACTAAATTATTACTTTAACAAAAAATATAGTTTTAAACATATTTGAACTTTTAATATCTATACAGAATATTTGTATTATTTATGCATATATACTGTATATATTATGAGTAAAATAAATATAAAAAAAAGAATTTGTTAGATTATATAATTTTGATTAAAATCCATCCGTTTCATAATTATTATAGTATTTTTATTATTCACTATATTATATTATAAAAATTTGTTTCACACTTTCGATATATTTTTACCGTTAATACGTAAGTAAAAGTTTTTGAATATACTGTACAGCAATCATAAAGTCAATGGGGTTTTCAACACTTAAGCCGCCAAATGATTGTCAAAATATCATAGCTATGAGTCATCTGCTGTCAAGAACTATAGTATTTAAACTATTTATCAATTGTTAGTATAACTCAATGGATATTGTAATCAATGAATTATACCATTAAAGTAATAAATTAATATAAATTACATTTGTATTCAAATGTAAAGAAAAATAGTAAATAAATATTTCATTTACAGTATTACATAATATAAGAAAAACTTAACATTTTATTTTTAAAGACTCATTCAAACTAACTTTACTGTTTAATAAAATATCAATTTAATAAATTATTATTACTAATTATAAATATTATATTTTCTTTAAATAAGTATTAAATACAATATTAACTAACTGTTTAAATTATAATAATGATATTAATCTAATAAATTAATTTTAGTCTCTTAAAACATTGACAATGAAATTAAATGTTTTGTGTTATTATAATCATATATAATCATAATGATATCAATTAATAAAAAATAAAACATTATATTTTTTAGAAATATAAAAAATTAATTAAAGAGACATTAAGTTGATATAATTGAGTTAATAAATGCCGGTTTAGATTAAATAAATTCATATCTAATATAAAAATAATGTCTTATGATTAATGATTACAATTAATTAGGATTAGATATTAGTATAATTTGTTTATATAACAAATTCATTAACTTTAATAATATTCCGAAATTAAATACAATAGTAAATCTTTATAAATTTGTCATACAATATCACTAAATTATTATATTGTAAAGTTATTTTAATTTTATGATTTTTACGTCAAACGATGTTAATTTACACTTTGTTTTTATCGTTTATACAAATATCTATAACTTATACCAATGTTTTATTTGCGATAAAATCACAATTGTTTGTGTTGTCAAATATTTTTATTAATATAAATTATATATATATAGTGGTACTTTAAATTTATAATATTGTATTTTCTAACATTTTCTCTATAAAAAAATATTGCGTTAAACCTATAATTTAATATTATAATTGTGTCGATTTAAAAAAAAATTATATGTTTTAGTGACGTTCAGACAGACATTTAAGATAATAGTATAATTATATAATAGATTAGCCCACGACCCACACAAACACACAGTTAGATACATACATATATTCATACATACATACCTCATATAATGTATATCGAAAAGATATAAGATATATCATCAAACAATCAAACATTAATTTTATTGTGATTAACTTATCAATTTATTTAGTAATACTTATAAATTAAAATGTATTGATCTTATATAAATCAAATTTGTTTTGCATTAATTTTTTAAAAATTATTTTTATTTTATATCCATTTAGATTTCACTACAGTCTAATTATGATAGACTTAAGGCGTTTAGTAAAAAGTAGAAATTTATTTGTTACTTATAAAAAAATATGAAAATAGTATAATCTCTTCAAATTTGTTGTGACATTGTGTCAAACAAATTAAAAACTAACTGAAAACTTTAATTATAATTGTTGATATATATTATACATTGCATAACATGCAAATTTATTATTAGCAATATTCAAATGTCATTTATTATTATAAATAATCAAATTATAGTAAGAAAAATAATTCTTAAATGTCTATCATTTTATATTAAATAGTAACTTAAACTAAATATAAATTGTAATAAATAATTAATATTATTTTCTAATGCAAATATAATACATTTTAAACAATATTAATATTAAATATCATATTATAAGATATAGTAAACAATTATAGAATTGTTAAAAAAATAAAATACAGTATATATAAAAATATTAAAACTTTTACAATAAATTTAATCAATTATTTTCATATTTGTTTTTTATATAAATTTTGAGAAATTTTAATTAAAACCATTTATTAAAAACACAAAAAAAACTTATTTAGTATATTTGAATCTTTATATTTTGTTGCTTAAAGATAACATTAGGTGTAAAAAATAATATTTATTTAATTTAAATAATTATAAAATCTAATTAGTAGTAAAATGTATTAACTAGTTTTTATTACATATTAATTTAAATTTAAATAAAAATATAAAAATAGTAATAATTGACACATATTTTTAACTATTTATAATTGAAAATTCTTGCTGTATATGATTTACTATACATACATAGTTAATAAATTTAATACAACATTAACTAATAAATATTTAGTTTACAACAAAATACTAAATATTTAATAAAATTCACAAAAATAAAGTTTAAATAAAATTTTGCTAAAACTTTAAATCGATTTCTGAATTTGTAAAAATATTAACACAAAAAAATATAAAATATTTATATGATTTATACAATTTATGAAAAAATATAAAAGCAAAACTCTTATTGATTAAATTGATTTTTTATTGTTACAAATTCAAAGAAAAATAATAAATTGTTAGTAATAAATTAATTACTTTTTAACCTTTTTTAGTGTCTAATTAAATATGAATTATAATTAAGTCACTAATAACAAAAACATTAGATTTAATTATACGAAAAAATATTTTAAATTGAAATATTATAACATTATATTCTATTAATACCACAATAATTAAAGAGAAATATTAAAAATTTCTATAATGTTATATAATACATATAATTGATACTACTAAATTAAACTAAATTAAACTAAATTAAACTAAATTAAACTAAATTAAACTAAATTAAACTAAATTAAACTAAACTAAATAATTAACAGTGTATATTGTTTTCCAGATTAAAAATACATTAATGTAAATATATTATTACAATATTCTAATCAATATTAATATTTACATTTATTCTAATAGCTATTTATAATAATAGTTATTTACAAAACTTTGTCATATTTTAAATAATTTGTATTATTTAATGGATTTTTAAAGATAAAATTATGTGCTAATCAGCTAACAAAAACAACATCTATTTATATAACTAAGTGCTTTATAAAAATATTACAAAATAAGTAAAATTAATATAAGTGTTTGACATACCGTTTATTTTCATCTTTCACTGGTTTGGCCATTGCTTTGTTGAGTAAGACAACGGCCACTAATATTGTTGATATTGTAATTAATCTATAAAAGTGTTTTCCCATAAAAACCATTTTTTTAATCATTCAGTTTCTTATTATAATTAAATATATATAATAGTTGTCAACTAAATAATAATAAAGTTTTTCAATATTGTTATTCAAATAAGTATCGCTGTATTCCTTAAATTCTGAGTGACTTCACTGGTGGTCAACTAGTATTATGACTCTCTTCATAACAATTATATAGACTTTATATTATAAGTTAAGTTAGTTTATAATGCGAAAGAGTGGTCGACACAACACTTATATAATTGAAGTGATGAAACAACCGGTTTAGTAGACAACCAATACTTTAATGAATGCCAAAACCAATAACCACTAAATTATATAACGTTTTCTTGACGTTTACTCAATTTATATAATTATAACTAACTTTTATTTTATAAAATTATTTGCAATAACTATTAAATTTGAGGCAATCTTATTGAGTGAATTACATATATTTCAATACATGGTTTGAGAGCAAACTCACACTTTTATATTGTAAGGTATGCTTTGCATGTCTGCGCTAATACTGTACTCAATGTTAGGTATGAGTAGATGAACGACGACGACGACTGTGAATCTCATATTTATTTTATCATTTAATTTATAATTTTTATAGACTTTTATTAAACATCTAATCACAGGAATTGTTATATAAGGTCTGTCCCCAAGATTTTAATAACACTCAATGCCGGCAAACAATTGCCAATAAATATTAATACTTTAATTCTCTTTATTTTATTATTATTTTTAAAATCCCGACAATTGATGTAATATATTGGATATAGTGATCAAACACAAGAGTTTTTGAAGAAAATATTTTATAGGCGACGACTTCTGGGAATTCATATATACTTTTGTGTACTTTTTGTACTTTCAATATGTTATTACATATGAATTTTGAATGTTTTCCGACAGAAAATCAGTAATAATTTTGTTTGTTTTACAAATTTTCTCATAAAAACATTTATAGAAATCTGTAAATCAATGACTAAGAAGTTATGATAAGAATTTTTGGGATCGTATTTATGTTTATTGAAACAAATTTTCATCAATTATTGCCAATACATAGCACTCCTACACCAAACACTTTCATTTATTCAATATTTATTTAAATTTTACAAACATATTATAATATTATAGTAAAAACCAAATATAAATAATTTTAAGCACAACTGAAACACATAACATTTTTCAAAAAATTTATTATTATATTTTAGATTTTTACAATACAGTTATAACTATAGATGAATTTCATGTTTATTATTTGTATTATACTTACATCACAAATATTTTCATTATTATCCACATATCATACGTGGGCACAGTTTTTTGGAAAAATATAAATTTCATATAAGTTTAATCAAATAATATTAAAATTTTGTTCCTTAAATAATCAAATATAACACAATTAATTTAAAATATCTTTTTACATTCAATATTTTTGTGTACCAAATAACACTGATTTAAGTATACTTATAAAATAATAAGTGTAGTTATTGTTTGTTGATAATTATTATAAATTACTTTATTATTTAAAAACAGACTAAAAACAAACCTATTATACTTAGACTTTAATATTTGAGGTGTTTTTTGTTGTTGATTATATGATGAATAAATTTGTTATAAATAACAATAAATTTTATTTTGTAGAATAACACCTTAAAATAGTAATAAAAAATAAAATTTAGTTCAAATTGAGTGTCGAAAGTGTCCCCATTATTACTATCTTTGCTTTTTCTGGCATTTTTTTATCACACTTTCTCTAATATTAGAAGGTCTGGCAAAATATAACCTAAAATAACTAATCTATTATAATATTTTATAGTTGATATTCACCTTAAATGTGTACTAATATTTTTAAGTGCTATAGATATCAATTATACCATAAATTTATAAAAAATTTGTTTATATAAAAAAATAAAGATATAAATAAATATTTTTATTAATATATTGTTAGCATTAAATAACTTGTTAATCAAAATATTTTCAAAACTATCGATAAAATGAAATTAACAGTTATATTGTATAATGTTATGAAAAATGATATTTTAGGTAAAAATTGATTTGAAAAATGTTTAACTAATTGTAAACAGAGTGTCATCCGAAATATTTTTATAGTATTGCAAAAAATTGCCTCAAAAGTGGCAATATTTACACTGAACTCCCTTAAGTAATATTACTTCTATAAGACTTTTTTCAATATTTAAATATATTTATTTATATATATATAATTATATTAAATATACAATCAATAATTAAAGTTTAAATTATAAGTTGTTTAAACTACTGTACTATAAATGTTTTATAATAGATATTTAGTATGTCTTGAGTGCAAAAAAGTGTTAATCACTTAACTAATGAGTGATATGTTTGTGCCGACAGTACTGTATTGTATAACATGTTGTTTTACAAGTATATTATTTGATCAAAACATATAAATGTATTCAATCTTATGATGAGTAATAAAAATGATACATATTTTTATAAATATATTGAAAGTACATTCATTTATTTATTTATAAATAAGTACTTTACTGTATAAGTGAGTTTTGAATTTTACACATTAGGTTAAAAAACTTAATAAATTTATTTAATTTTTGATCAAAATATTTATGATAAATATTTTGCCATTTTAATACTTATTGCATTTTGAATTTATTTATAAACAACAGTTATATTGTCGACCAGATGTCGACTGTATCACTCACATACAGACAGTCACACCGAATATAGAGACATCACATCCCTTTCCACCCTTTAGTAACGTTTTGTCCCTCAACACAATCACTACATGTAATCGTTATAATTATTATTCAATCAAACCATCATTTCATCTAATTGTCGGCCTCTTGGCTGACATTATTGGCGCAGTCGGCAGGATAACGCATTACTGTAGTTGATTTCTTCGACAAAAATCGTGAATCCAAAATGCCGTACAGATACAGTACGAGGTGCCCAACACGTGCTGAGCGCATACGGGCCTCACTTCGTAGCAAACGTGTCAACCGCAACGTTATCAACACGACAAACACCGAAAACAGCGCGGACGAAGACGTAAGCGGCCACCACAATGAGACCGTCGCCGCACGGGTCTCACGGTTTCGCACAACCGACGGTCCAGTTTTACCGCACAATTTGGTAGCTCGTAATAACGTAATGACACTCAACAGCTTACCACCCACGGCATCGATTACTTATGCGGCCAAAGGCTCAACAAAGGAGTGGCACCGCGTATTCACGTTACTCACCACCGAAGACATCGAAAAGGAGCGTCTCATCGCTTCGGCTCTTCAATACCACACTGACGGCGACGCCGGTCAACCAACAGACACTATCACCGAAAGCTGGTCATCGGACAGCTCAACGAACAAAGACATCACGATTCGCGTTCAAATCGTATCACAAATCGATTCACACATCGATAAGTATATCGCTATCACTGAAGACTTACAAGCGATTCAGTCGACACCATTAACCGAAACATATCGTCCTATTGTGACACCGACTGTCCTTGACATCCATCGGGCGACAGACACTATCACTAATGGACGAGAAATCGCCGACACCACCCCACCAGACGTAGACAACGATGTAAACGTCGATATATCACCGAAATCGCGACATAATCTCCGAAAATTATCGTCAAATCACGTTTCGGTATCACCATCGCTCTATACGTTGTATATGAATAACACCCGCAGTCGACGACAACATTCATATTCATATACAACAAGAAATCGTTCAAAACAGACGACGCATCAGAAAGCGTCACACCATTCACGTGTGACTCCCGATAGTAGACGTACCGACATGTCGTTCACGTCATCAAATCGTGTCACATATCGCCATCGATCACGACAACACCGCAGCCATCACATTATGAACCGATTCTCAACGCCGCCCATCAATCCATCAGCGGATGGATTCGTTTCAAGTGTTCATAGGCCGCCCATTTGGCCGCACAGATTGGCAAACGTTCACCCGATTCGTCCGCGCCGTATAGACGCTGGTCTTCGCGGTCGGGGAATTGTCGACCAGATGTCGACTGTATCACTCACATACAGACAGTCACACCGAATATAGAGACATCACATCCCTTTCCACCCTTTAGTAACGTTTTGTCCCTCAACACAATCACTACATGTAATCGTTATAATTATTATTCAATAAAACCATCTTTTCATCTAATTGTCGGCCTCTTGGCTGACAATATAATTAAATTATGAATATAATTTAATTGTTAATATCAAAAATGATTTAAATAGTGTCTAAATATTTCACTAAAACTGACACAATTATAGAAATACTAATTAATTGAAAATTTTTAATATTAATTCATTTATTAATTAATTAATAATTTTTAATGATTTTCGACATTGATTTAAACTAAATTTTACTAAGAATACAAATCATTTAAAAATTAAGTTTAAAATATAATATATGAGACATTTGTTACATAAAATGTATTATAAAATATTGTTTATTAATAAATTATATAAAGATTTGTAAATTCTATCTATAATATAGATTCTATTCTATATAATTGCTGTTTTTCTATTGTTATACAGTATATAATAAAATAATATATTAAAAAACAATATTTTTCATTAGTATAATTAAAATAATTTATTATAACAGCAGGTATTGTATTATTTAATATTAAAATTATTTTCACTGTTTTGAGTTTATTAATTTTTAATTGATGTTAGTTTATAAAATCAAGTTAAATGAACTTATTTGTGAAATCATTGATCTATAAACTCTCTCTCTCTCTCTTTCTCTCTCTCTCTTTCTCTCTCTCTTTCTCTCTCTCTCTCTCTTTCTCTCTCTCTCTTTCTCTCTCTTTCTCTCTCTTTCTCTCTCTCTCTCTCTTTCTCTCTCTCTCTCTCTCTCTTTCTCTCTCTCTCTTTCTCTCTCTCTTTCTCTCTCTCTCTCTCTTTATATCTTTTATGTATTGAAAACAATGAAATGCTTTTATCTAAATCATAAAAATGAAATGCTTTATCAGAAGTATTATTAAAGTT